ATGATTTGCATGTAGGAAATACTCACCTGAGACAGAACTTCCCTGTCACCTGATACATCAAACGCAGTATGTTGCAAGAGAGGCTGTGCATGTATCCAGCTGTGAGTCATACTGATTGATGAATCAGCACAACTTCACAAGTCTTCACAGGTATCCACAGGGAGACCTGAAAAGCCCTTCAGCTGAGCCTTTAATTGATGGCTGCTTTCGTAATCCAGGCTTCCTGTGGTGAGTCAGCAGCTTCTTACCAGCAAAAGCCATCCTTAGTTTGGGACAGGGATTCTCTGACTTCACACACACACAAACACAAACAAGCATTTCAGCAAAGCATTGCATGGTCTCTCCTGAAACTGCAAATGCAGGAAAGCCCAGGGCTATTAAATACTTTGATCCAAGAGAGGATTCTGCATCTTTAAAGAAGATATTCAAGAAAGTGCTTTGGTAGCAGTAGTGACTGGACCATGTCACATTCTGGCATGAGAGGTAGCTGTTCTTAGCATTCCCCACTTCTGAGCAGAAGATGTTCTGGAGTCAGTTGTGCTGAGTTGTGTCATTTGGATGTACTGGAGACTTCTAGTGTATTTGCAGGCTTTGCTCTATGTACAAATATACCCACAAAGTTCACACTGGAAGCAAATATACACTGCTTCATAAGGCAGCCAATTTTGGGAGAGCAACACACCTCTGTTGTGCTTAACTCAGGCTAGAAACTCACCTCCGGTACGTTTCCAAGCACAATTCAAAGTGTTGGTGCTGACCTTTAAAGCCCTAAATGGCCTCGGTCCAGTATACCTGAAGGAGTGTCTCCACCCCCATCATTCAGCCCGGACACAGAGATCCAGCACCGAGGGCCTTCTGGTGGTTCCCTCACTGCGAGAAGCCGCTACAGGGAACCAGGCAGAGGGCCTTCTCGGTAGTGGCACCCACCCTGTGGAACGCCCTCCCACCAGATGTCAAAGAAAACAACAATGACCAGACTTTTAGAAGACATCTGAAGGCAGCCCTGTGTAGGGAAGATTTTAATGTTTGATGCATTACTGTATTTTAATATTTTGTTGGAAGCTGCCCAGAGTGGCTGGGGAAGCCCAGCCAGATGGGCGGGGTATAAATATCATCATCATCATCATCATCATCATCATCATCATCATCTCCCTCTGCTGTAAATTCATCTCCCTCCCTGGGGAGAGCCAGTGTGGTGTAGTGGTTAAGAGCGGTAGTCTCGTAATCTGGGGAACCGGGTTCGCGTCTCCGCTCCTCCACATGCAGCTGCTGGGTGACCTTGGGCCAGTCACACTACTCTGAAGTCTCTCAGCCCCACTCACCTCACAGAGTGTTTGTTGTGGGTGAGGAAGGGAAAGGAGAATGTTAGCCGCTTTGAGACTCCTGAAGGGGAGTGAAAGGCGGGATATCAAATCCAAACTCTTCTTCTTCCTCCTCTGCCTAATTTTGTTCCCTTTGTTGTATCTTCTGCTCCTCCACTCAGCTGGAGGTGTGTCATCTCTGATAGGAATCCTATTCCAAAATATGAAGGGAAATAACATCAACAATAATTGTATACTGCTCTTCATCTGAAGATCTCAGGGCGGTTCACGGCATAAATATACAAGATACATAATAAAAACAACAAAACAGTAACACGCTTCACCCCTTCCTACAAACACATTTAGAAGTACAGTATATATAGGATCCTCAGAAAGCACCTACTGCAATAGCTCCAGCACTGATGAAACATCAGCAAATTGCCACGGGGTATCAGGCAGCTGAATGAAGGAATGAGCAGCCAGCAGCTGCCACAGTGCAAAGCTCACAATTTAAGCAAAGCAATCAAGCAGGGGCATTTACCACTCAATCATACCCACACTCAGAAATCAGTCCCACTGACTTCAGTTGGTCTTTTCCCACAGATGACATGCTTTGGATTGCATCTTTAAGAGTTTGTTTCATTTACTCCATCTTCCTAACTGAGGGGTCTGGTATTCTGCATCTGTATCACTCCACTCCCACCTCCAAAATTATCTGGTTAGAGCTCCTCTCCCTACAAAATAAATCTCCCAGTACAGATCAGATTTAGAGCACCTGCTGCCTGCTGGCATCCCCAGGTAAGGCTGGGGGTGCCAGCCTAAAGTCCTGGAGAGCTGTTGACAATCAGTGTAGACAATACTGAACTAGACCATTGGTCTGACTCCATATTCTTGCGCTCCGGTGACTGTGAGCACTAATTGTGCCACTACTTCTATGTTCTGATGAAGCTTTGATTTTGGAACTTTCAGCCTTTCCACTGGCCACATGGGATGCTTCTGAAATAGAGGGGTACTTCAAAACTGAATGGGAGGATTTGCAATTCAAGGAAAAGGAGAAGGGCAGAGAGAGAAAGCCCTGTTGGGGGGCAAACATACCCTTTGCCATGTCTCTAGTTGTTTTTTCAGTCACAGCCTGTGTAGTGATTGGTATGAGCATTGTTTAATGGTCTGTCCCTCTAGCCGAGCAAATTTTTGGATTCACTGGAGAATTTAGATGCAACACATACCTGATCAGTTCCCCTGGGTACCATTAAGCAGGGCTGAGGAAGACCTCTCTCATGGAACACTAGCAAGCTGATGCCAGTCAGTCCTAAGCTAGATGGATCCAACATAAAGGCAGATGCCCAAGTTCCTAGTTAACAGATTAATGTTTAGCTATTAGGATGCATTTGCCAGCTCCCCTTGCGTTCAGTTCTCAAGATGTACCTTTGAATTAAAAAAAATTACAGCAGGCACTAATTCCAGTGTCCAGCTGCCACAAATCTTAAGCAACGTAGCCACTCTGTTGGAATCTGAACAGCAAAAATCATCACTGAATTATGACTATGCATGAAGAGTCCACAGTCTTAATAGAAACCACAGAGCCAGCATAAAATCACTAGCAAAGTCTCTGGGAAAAGGGATGGCCCATGGGATAGCTGTAGGACGTTTGGCTACGAAAAACCTCATTCATTAGGTTTCCCTGTTCCCTTGCAGGAGCGGTAATGGAAAGATACAAGCACGCTCTGAATCAATGCGGAGACCTTAAAAGAAAACAAAATAGGTGTGGCTCTGGAGGTGTAACCTGTGACTCAACATTACCGTCCAGAAAAGGGTGGAAAGCCTTGCAGCAAAATGCAAGCAAGAAACTTGCCAGCACACTGTATATGGTCATAAGGAAGTGTGTTGGTGGTTTTCCCATTACTGAGTTAAAGCAACTACTATAAGGTCACAGTTAGGAAATCAGAAGGTGGACCTGCTTATCTTACGTCTGCTAAAACTCTGAGCTCCACTACACTTTGCTGAAGAGACAGAATGAAAGTGTCATCTAAATAAATAAATCAGCCAACCAAACCAGGCTACGATGCAATATGACCACCTAGGCCTGGATCCAAAGGACTAGTTCCACAGGGAGCCCATTTCTCAAACTGCAGCCATCTGGTGAACTTTGTTTCAATAGCAGCTTGACGCAAAATCGGGCCAATGCTTCTCAAATGGGAAAACTCCACTGGGGGTCATCAAGTTGATGTATGTTTAACAGTCTGGCTGAAGATTCTGCTTCTATAAAGGCTGGCTGACCAGTGGCCTCCTACAACTTGCTTAATTACCACTCCCGTACATTTGACCATTAGCTATCTTTGTTGAGCCCAACAGCAAGTGCAGTTCAACATTTTCAGGCCCACAGGTTAGTTGCCCCGTTCTATTACTGTAACATATTTGACCATTTCTGCCAAGTCTTACACAATAGGGTAGTGACCCAAGGATGTCTCTCTGCTCTGGCTTGCAACTAGGGCTCCATTGCTAGAGTTACCGTTTGACGCTACCAAGATAAAACACCTGAAACATCGGAGTCTCTGGAAATGCTGTGGTGTGGATTTAATGGTGAAAATGCTGGCAGACACTTCAGGGAAGGGGAACCTGTAGCCCTTGAGATGTGGTTGGCCTCCAACTCCCGTTAGAGCCAGCCAGGCAGTTGGAATATGGGTCACAGGTTCTTTGGTATTTATCTAGAGCAGCCTTACATGACGTGGTGCCCCTCTGGTGTCTGGGACTAAAATCCCAGCAACTCTAACCATTAGCCACACTGAGCGAGGCTGATGGGATTCTAACCATGTCTGTAGGGCCAAAGGCTGAGTGGAGGAGAAGACCCAGAAGCTCCTGTGAGCAGGACTGCACGCATGGAACGCTCTCACTGAACAGCGGGCTGGGGACAACATCCCATCTTGCTCCTCTGCTGAAAAGCTGCTATGGAATTTCAAAGATGGTAGTACTTAGCATTACAGTGGTACCTCGGGTTATATACGCTTCAGGTTACAGACTCCGCTAACCCAGAAATAGTACCTCGGGTTAAGAACTTTGCTTCAGGATGAGAACAGAAATCGTGTCCGGCGGCGGGACAGCAGCAGCAGGCCCCATTAGCTAAAGTGGTGCTTCAGGTTAAGAACAGTTTCAGGTTAAGAACGGACCTCCGGAACGAATTAAGTACTTAACCCGAGGTACCACTGTATAAGAGAAAGGGGAAATTGACAAAAATCACCTTCCGCACTCTTCCTCTCAGGGGTGCCAACTTGAAGAAAATATTGGAGGGACCCAGATAATTCCCGCCCCACATAATCAGTCACATGGCACGGCACACACACACCTTTGGAATGGCAATGCCCATCAACTTTGGGGGCCCCCAGCCCCCGCAAATATAGATGAAGCCTCTAATGGACACACAAAGGCCCACTTTTACTGTGACTTCTACAAAGATTTGCTCAGTTTCACCAAGTTATTAGGGTCCATCAGACAGTTAAAATACTGTTAAGTGGCTCTTCTAGCAGATGGAAAACTGTAGAGGTGATGAAAAATTCCACAATTTCAACTGATTAAATCCAGGAAGAAAATACTGATAGAAACCTCCTTTGGAGACCTGCTAAACCCAGAAATGAAAGCAGCAATTTTAGTCGAGTGTGTAACCCAAGGCTTTTTGATAAGAATCAAAACATAAGACCAAGCATATTGCATAAAGTTATTCACACATTTTCATTTTGTTGTTTTCTTTACAGCATATTACAAGTGAACATTACATTATTCAATATGAACTAAGAGCAGCCTAGAGGCAGAACAGACCTAAACAGACTAGGAAAAAATGTTCCATAACCAAATCTACATTGGGAAGAGACTGTAGTGGGAAGAACATCCTCAAACCAAGAAAGATTATTATGTGGGAAAGTATGCTTGGTTTCCTACACTACTTCTGCAGAAATATACAACTGATTAGAGAAAGTATTGGTCAGATTAACAGAAGATAAAATATTATTAGAGTATAACTATGCCACTTAGGCCAGCCAACAGGTTACAGAACAGACGTGAAATGTACCAAAGAATACTGAATTATTGTTTGAAGACTGTTTGAGACAAATGGAAGAAATTTTAACTTGATAGACTAGAGGTATTACACACCTCCCCTCTCATGAACCACCATATCCAATGGCAAACTCCCTGGAAAGATTAGTAGTTTCCTGTATCTACTGGGAAAATGTTCTATAACTGTCATTAAACTTAAATTCAAAAGTTAAATATAGGGAAAGGAGGAAACTACTATATAAATTCAAATTGTGAGAGATACTTGAGTTATTTTAAGGTGTAAGTAACTGTTGAGCAGTTGTGTTAAATTATCAACATACTAAATTTTGTTGTAAGCAAATGTCTGTATGCTGTGATTATATTTTTAATAAAAATGAGCATTTTGTAAATGAGATGACATGTTGCTCTCCTATCTTCTCTCTAGGCCTCTCCACAAAAGGTTTCAATGCAATCTATAGTCACATCACTACTTCCAGCAGCTTTGAGACAAAGCACCTATGTTATGACATCAAAATGAAGTGTTTACACAAAATACTGACTTGAACAAAATACAAAGCACTTTATCTTTCCGAAACTGAATATACAAAGTAAGCTTCTTTCCAAAATATTTTCATAGGCAAAGGATTAAAAAGGATTTTAATTATACACATATGGTCACAATTCTGCCTTAAAAAGGAAACTGGGAAATGTACATAAGGCCGCTTGTAAATGTACAGCTTTTATCTTACTGTTACAGTGTCTTGTTCAGAGAAAAATTGACAGTATCATACATATTTGCTTTAGGATGAAGTAAGCTGTCCAAAAATACAGTACTCTTCTGTACAAAAACAAATCGTGCCACATTTAAGATGGAAGAAGCACTGGTTTGTGTGGTCAGTATTTCAGTCCATTAATTTGCCTTTATTCTCATTAATGTTTAAACTGATTAAGTTCCCCAAATATCCATATTAACAGAACAACTATGTTAAACAAAAACATTTCCTCATAATAGATAAAAGAAAGCTGGTTCGTAGTTCTGAAACCATATAAAGATAGAATCTTTTAAAAAATCAGTCTTGATTTGCTGAAATAAATTTACATTATACAACACTATGTCAGGGCAAAAAAGGGACAGGGGTATGAATATACACTAAAATGCAAATTTTCTTCCCAAAAGGGGTAAAACAAATTACATTTACAGCATGGAGGTTTACAAATGTACATCTGTACAACCAAAGTAAGCGTCACTACTCAATTAGCAAGGCTTGTAAAACATTGAAAACAAGAAATCTGCTTACAAACGGTAAACTTACATCTATTAACTATACTTATATAATGCTTATATTTATAAGGAAGCAAAAAGTTATTTGAATATTTAATCATGCTTTAGATGTTGAGCTATCAAAGTCTCAGTAGGCCTTTCCTCCACCATTAACTGCCTACCGTTTGCAGCTACCTGTGAGAACACAAAGCCTATCAACACTTTCAAATCCTGTCTTACAATTGTATATGCAAAGCAAAGCACACACCTTATGCCCACTGACTGCCTATTATTTTAATGCAGGTTTACTCTTTTCCCAGACAGTACGTTGCTGGACCAAAGTACCACCTTGATTTTTATTCCCCTATCTTGCACATCAATTAAATATTTAAGTATATACATGGCTTTTATACACTGCTAGAGAAAAGGGCACATTACATTAAAAGAAAAAGGAAAATTGTTTCCAAAGTAAAAAGGTAGAAACTATTCCTCAATGTTCACATTTTATCATTCCTTACTGATATTCTTCAGTGCCCTGATTGCTATTTGGATTATAAAATTGTGAACCACCAAAATACAGAACTTAACTTTCTGTAACATGTTAAATAATAATTATGCAATCATCTATTTTCATCTGTTATAAAAAAAGGATTCCGCACAAAGGGGTGGGGGGAGAAATTAAACTAATTTCTATATACAACTATATAAACATGTGCTGTGATGTTGGGGAGACCTACCAGATTGTGAGCCAGTATATTAAAAGAATACTGTACTTTTTTTTCCCTTTAAAAACTATTTTATTCAATGACTTTACAAGGTAAAAATTTACAAAATGTGAGAGCTATTCGGATAGTTACATCATTTACAGGCATTCTGTGCTTTGTGAGCCACACAATCTGATAGGTCTCTGATAAGAAATGGCAATATGTTGCAATTCATTCCCCAAAAATATACACAAGAATAAAAATTTTTACAAATGCATGAAGAGTCAATAAATAGGGGGTTTTTTTATATAAAAAAAATCACAACGTTTTGAGTTAAGTTGTATGTTTTGATAATTCACAATAAAATTCATCTTCAAGATTTTCTGAATGTGTCCTTAAAGCATTCCATTGGGTGGCCCTCCAACTGGGCCCAGGTCAGCACTGTTCTTCAGGTAATACTTTTCCAGCTTGGCAAGGATATGTTTGCCGTAGGTGTATTTGCGCAGGGTGGTAATATGGGGGCGAATCTGCAATAAGAAAATCCAGGTTTTAGTCAAAACATTCCTATCACGAAGAGAGCAGATGATAAACTGAAGCAGAATATTCAAGACATCTTTGTTAGTTTTACATTAATGTTTATGAACTCCGAGATCAATGATAAAATCTTCAGAGACAAATAATATTTAAGATGAACCCAAGTGAGGACCAGGCGTAAGAAAAATTACAGTGGTACCTTGGTTCCCAAACGGCTTATTTGTCAAACAAATCGGCTCCTGAACACCACAAACCCAGATATAAGCGTTCCGGTTTGCGAACGTTTTTCGGAAACCGAACATCTGATGCAGGAAGCTCCTGCAGACAATCGGAAGCCTCGCCTTAGTTGTCGAATGGACTCCCAGAATGGATTAAGTTTGAGAACCAAGGTACCACTGTACTACATTTTGATCCACTGCTTCCTAGCAAGGAACTCTTCTACTGGGGCAGATATGTCTTCCTTTAAGCCTTCCCTTCACAAGAGTTCACAGACAATGATGTTCACATCCAAGCTAGTAGTTTGCTTCTCCGAACAAACAAGAGGTAAGCCAAGAACAAAATTTGGCTTCTGAACATGGTTTGTTTGGAGAGGAGGAATGAACCCAGTTCAGGCATCACAACAAGCCACATTGTGGAATGTTTCTGGGCAGTGCAAGAGCAGCACCTTGGAGACCAGGATTCAAATCCCCACTCAGCACTGAAGCTCAATGGTTTGGGTCAGCCACTCACTCTCTGCCTAACCGACCTCACTGTGAGGCTAAACTGGGAGAATCATGTATTACATATAACCAGTGGTTTTTTTCTTTAAAAAATGTTTTGGGGTACTCTCATTTTCCTACTCATATTGAAATAATGCCCCTCAATGAGGCCAAACTTAGATTCACAAAATGTTTAGGGGTATGCGTACCCCCAGAAAAAAGCACTGCATATAAGTAATAAAGCATGGAAAGAGTGAAGCAGGCATTACACACAAGCATGCTGCTTGTTCACATTTAGCTATACAGTGGTACCTCGCAAGACGAAAAACTCGCAAGACGAAAGAGTTTTTCGTTTTTTTAGTTGCTTCGCGAGACGAATTTCCCTATGGGCTTGCTTCGCAAGACGAAAACGTCTTGCAAGTTTGTTTCCTTTTTCTTAAAACCGTTAATACCCAGGGTGCATTGCTTGAAGAGGTGCAGTTGCGACTTGACTTCGAGGAGCAACTCATAGCACGCGGTGTGGTAGCCTTTTTTGAGGTTTTTGAAGACTTTGGTGATTTTTGAAGCTTTTCCAAAACTTCTTTTGCAGCCATTTGGTAAGTTAAACTTTTAAAACTTTTTGGGGTTTTTGGATTTTGGGTTGGGGTGTTTGGAATTCAAGGACTTGGTGTTGGGGAGGGGTTTGCAAGAATCTGGAAGCTTGTGGTTTTTTTCCTGCATTTTTATGATTTTTTGTGACCATTGGGGCACTCTGCTGTTTTTTTAAAAAAAGAATTCTGGGTTTGGATTTCTGTGTGGTGGGTGGCTGGGGGGGGGGTCAGGTTCTTCAGCAAGAAGCAAAGAGTGGAAGAGGAACCTTCTTCGAGTTGTCCCCCAGAGTCTTAGAAAATGTATGTACAGTACACTTTGGTGAGTTTTAAATGCTTTTCTGTCATGTTTAGAAACTTAAATTATTGTTCCTTCAATTTTTGAAATGCTCTTTACAGTATGTGTGACTTTAAAGAGCGATCACTTAATAAACTATTTTTGTACCAAATTTGGCTTGGTTTGGACTTTTTTTGACCATAGGAACGCATTAATTGATTTTCAATGCATTCCTATGGGAAACCGTGCTTCGCAAGATGAAAAATTCGCAAGACGAAAAAACTCGCAGAACGAATTAATTTCGTCTTGCGAGGCACCACTGTAGTTCAACATTATTTGCAACCAGGTGTGTATCTACAGTCTAGTAAAAAAGCATGGTTACTGTTGAATCATAGAGATGGAAGAACACCTGAGGATCTTCTCGTTCCTGCAACGCAGGAATATGCAGCTGCCCCATACGGGGATTGAACCTGCAATCTTGGCATTATCAGCACCACGCTCCAACCAACAGAGCTATCCAGGTTGAATAAATTATCATTTCCATCCATATTTATATGAACCTGAGCCTCTTGGGCTTGCGGATCAGAAGGGTGGTGGTTCGAAACCGCACGACGGGGTGAGCTCCCGTTGCCCTGTCCCAGCTCCTGCCAGCCTAGCAGTTCAAAATCATACCAATGCAAATAGATAAATAGGTACCGCAGCAGCGGGAAGGTAAACAGCATTTCCGTGCGCTCTGGTTTCCATCACGGTGTCCCGTTGCACCAGAAGTGGTTTAGTCATGCTGGCCACATGACCCGGAAAGCTGTCTGTGAACAAATGCTGTCTCAGCCTGAAGTGAGATGAGTGCCACACCCCACAGTTATGTTTGACTGGATTTAACCATCCAGGGGTCCTTAACCTTTACCTTTTTCATATGAACAACACAGAAATTTTAAAGAACCTATTTGAAATCAGTATCATTAACTTTCATCCTATTTTCAGTTATGCTACTTACAAAATGAGGAATTAAAACATGGAGTTATTGGGTTGTGGGGGAGAGAGAGAAACTGTCAGACACAAAAGCATGCAAGAGTTATCCAAAGTTTGCAAAAGCTGGGAAATGATTTTTAAATTAAGAGTTCTTTCAAAGTCTGGAGCAGATATGCACAATTACCTTGTGCATTATAATCTTTCGCTGAGCAGGTTCAGCCATGTCAATCATCTTCTGAACAACGTAGTTTGCATATTGGTCCTTCATCATGGTGTATAAGGCACTGTGAGGACCGTCATTCTGGCAACACACTTCATCAATAAGTAAAGCTCTTTCCGCACGAGATGCGTGAGTGACACATTTTTCTACCACATTGCTGAAAAAGATTACGGAACAGAATACAGGAAAGATTACAGAATGGAATGGAATAAAGAATAGATAAAGAGACAAATTAGATCCAGCTAAATACATTACTAAGCAGATTAAACGCTACACATTGAAATGAAATACATGGCACTTAAACTATGAGACAACACAACATTACTGTATTGTGCTAATCTATCCCTGTGGCCTCTCATGTACATTAACCTCTGAGGTGCAGATTCTGCTGAAATGACTCCTCCTTGTGTCAGAAGAGGGAGCATCACATTCTCATTTCCATCAGAGAGAAGTACAACCATTCCCCATGGCAGTGTTGCCCACTTTTTAGGAAAGGCGATGCTTGCAAAGGGAGGAATCCCAGCTTGGGTTCCCATCACGTGGCCCAAGTCTTTTGAGTTATCCTGTGGAGCACTTAGGAGTAGCAATAGCTAAACTGACCCTATTATATTTCAGGTCTGGGTTTGGTCGGTGCCTTAAAGGGGTGACTGCATTGGGTTCCAAGATGAAAGAAAGGCAGATATAAAGGCACAGAAAGGAATAATAAAGCAGTCCTTCACTGCCCAATATTAAACAGCAATTAGTAATTCACTGTTAACTATACCTGGCAAATTTATGCTGACTCAGAGTTAGAACCTTGCCTCTGATTTCAGACACAATTTTACTCTTGTCTTCAGGACGTCCATGTTCCAGCACATGTTGAATAACATAGTTCCCATATTGATCCTGAAAGTAACACACTTAAGTTGTCTCAAGCATATACATTAGTTTAGCATTTTTTAAAGCGCCCAAAAAACCTAAGTTGAAGAGGAGACCACTCTTACATACCCATGTTTTGGAACTGTAGCATTTAAAGTTATATAGGGAAACTGATAATGCCCAACAGATACTACACCAAAAATCTAATAACTGAAAAGGTTGACATGAACTTTTTTAAACAATTTACTTCCAATATACCCAAACTCTGATTAATGTTTGCTAATAAAAATACAGCTACACAATATATTTTGTGCTCCCCATAATATTTCAGTGTACACCAACCTGCACAAGTTGTTCTGTGTGCTGATGCAGTTCTTCTAAAATGGGAAGTGTCTGTTCAGCAGTGCAGTGCTCCAGAATACGTTGAATTACTCTGCAGCCATAAGGATGAGTTGAAAGCACAAACACCTTAAAACGACAGGATTGTAATTATTAACACACACTGCATTAAATTTGCTCTATTCCAGATGAAGATGCCTCAGGTGCTCAAAAGGAGATTTTCCTATCTTTAATTACACCACATTATTGAAAAACATTCGATGTAAACATGGTTTTTGGAAGGAGGGAGAACAAGTGACTTTTACTTTTTAATATATTGTGTAACACCGAACACAGATATTCGTGCATTTTCCCTTTGGCAAGAAATTACACCGCACCTATAGGAAAATTTTGATCCCCTGTTGCACAAGACAGGAACTTTTTCTTCACGTCCCATTACAGAGTTTAATATGTGAAGGGGTCTGTATTCTGAAGACCAATGCAGTGGGGTAGGACAGCTGAAAAAAATTCACATCTGGGAACTAATGTGCCCTTTGGTTTCAGGTAGTACAAGGGTAGACGAGTCTAAAAAGCCAGGGACACAAATTTTCATGGCCCTCTAGCAGCTATGGTGGCTCATTTACCAGAAATAATGTATTTAGTGTTAACTCTGGAAGTGTAGTAGTAGTAGTAGTAGTAGTAGTAGTAGTAACAACAACAAGTAGTAGTAGTATTCATTTATTCATTCATGCATTCATTCATTCATTCCCCAGCCACTCTGGGCAGCTCCCAACAGATTATTATTATTATTATTATTCATGTGTACACTCAGTTCTGACCAAACTAAGCCTCCTAGAGCACAACATACACCAGGAGGCTTAGTTTGGTTAGAATCGAGTGTACACTTCCCAAGTTAATGCCAAATACATTACTTCTGTATTTAGGCTAGGCTAAATACTTCTGTAGGGGATGCGGGTGGCGCTGTAAGTTAAACCACAGAGCCTAGGACTTGCCGATCAGAAGGTTGGCGGTTCGAATCCCCGTTACTGGGTGAGCTCCCGTTGCTTGGTCCCTGCTCCTGCCCACCTAGCAGTTCAAAAGCACGTCAAAGTGCAAGTAGATAAATAGGTACTGCTCTGGCGGGAAAGTAAATGGCGTGTCTGTGCGCTGCTCTGGTTTGCCAGAAGGGGCTTAGTCATGCTGGCCACATGACCTGGAAGCTGTACGCCGGCTCCCTCAGCCAATAAAGCGAGATGAGCGCCGCAACCCGAGAGTCGGTCACGACTGGACCTAATGGTCAGGGGTCCCTTTACCTTTAAATATTTCTGTATTTAGGCTAGACGGTTGTGTCCCAGGCTTTTTATACTTCTCTACCCATGTACCATCGGAAACCGAAGGGGTGCAATGGTTGCCAGATGCCAAATATATTGGCATTATTTAAAGCTCTCCGACCCCAATACTGCAAAATAACCAGGAGTCTTCATGAAGCAAAGCCACTTATCTAAACTGAGATTCTGTATGACAGGGAAGCTCTTCCCTGTTCAGAACCAACCTGGCAGGGCAGAGCAATGCATGCAGAGACTCCAAAGCACATGCCACTCTCATCATACATAGGTAAGCAAACTTTTCTTTCTTTGGTGACTTGCTACAGAGAAAAAAAGGGGGAGCGACTAGCAAGCTTTTCTTATGGAGAACAGTATACTGCAACCCCAAGAAGCAGCATACATCCCAGGCTGTGTGTGCTTCCTGATGCCAGTAACCAAAGACCCAAAGGCAGCAAGGGACATAGTGAGCTTCTCGCCCTCATCTGCCTGCCACCCCGCTCATTTGCACTGCCGTGGTAAGCACAGAGCCTGCCAGTGGATGCATGCAACCATATCCCTGCAGCTGATGAAGTTGGTGACCAACCAGAACTTCTGAATATAGGTGGGCCATGCTCCCTCTGAGCAGAGGGGCCTGTGCAGGGCTGGCCCACCCATGAGGCCAGGTAAAGCAACTGCCTCAGGCGGCACGATCCACAGGGCAACGGATCCCATATAGATCTTTATGCCCCCTTTATTCCTGACGTCAATCTTCACTCCCCGTTTCTTCCCTGGCGGAGAGGGGGAAGCCATTTTGTAGTTTGCCTCAGGTGGCTAAATGTCTTGGCTTGGCCCTGCGTGGCAAATTAAGGGTTGCATCCGACCCTGTGTGCACAGAGTTCTGCTCACATGGTGGAGCTTCCCTTCCTTGGCCTGCTGCAGAGGGTCTTCCCTGGATCAGATTTTGAGGGTTCGGAGGGGAGGGTTTCAGGGGAAATAATGTTCCATTGCACCAGCAGAACAACAGCACTGGATAGGACCCTAAACAAATGAGACACACTTAGGAAGACTATATTAGCAACAGCGTGCTAACCAATGTTATCTGAAAAGCTGTGATTATGGATAGTAACCATTCAGTTAAAAAAAGTAAATATAAAAAAACTAATTACCTGTCCTTTGAAAGCATCAATAATAAATTGGAGTGACTGGGGCTGGACACATTCTATACATTTTTGTACCACGTGGTTTCCATTTTGATCCTTCACGCATTTCAGGACGTGCCCATCGAGCTCCTTCACCATTTCATTCTACAGAGGAATAATTTGGCATTACCAGGTTACACAGGTCCGTAACAGGTTACTTTCCCCGCAAGTGTGCATTTCCCAATTATGATTTAACAAGAATCGTGCCTTCTATAAAGAATCAGACTACTATATTGTTACAAGCACGTTTCCCAGCAAAGCAAAACAGGAAACATTTTACATTTGTGGGTTTTTTTGTAATGGAATACAAAAATATTGTTCTAACTTACAATTACCTGCTGGTCAGGTGAGATAGACTCAAGGGCTTTCTGAATTACACGGCAACCGTACATCTGCAGAGCTAATGGGAGAACATGCCCACGAATGCGCGTAGCAAGGGCTAACTTCTGGTCTATGCTTCCAAACTACGAGAGAAGGGAAGGCACTGTTAACAAAAACCAAACACACCTCTCTGCGTGTTACTATGAAAGTCATCTCACGCCACTATAAGAAAGTTAAATCGCCTATCAGTGGATTATTCAAACCTGTGGAAAGCTGGAAAGAAAAGCATGTGAGCAGCCTTCAACACCACAAACAGGGGAGTCGGAATATAGTCTGGGTTTCCCCCCCATCAGAACAAACTCAGAGGTTAAAAACCTTTGAACAGCTTCCTTTATGCACTTACCTCAAAGAATTTCTGTATGACATAGTTGCCAAACACATCCGTCATCAGCTGATATGCTGCTTGCAGAATCTCACTAAATACCATTTGACGTTCAGCTGGAGTGGCTCTTTCTAATTTCTGCTGTATAAATCTGTAAGCACCAGAATTGTACATAAGTAAAAACCTCAAGTTGAATAGAAGTCGAATAACTAGAGCAAAGTAGTAAAAACAAACAAACTGAAAATAACATAAGAATAAGAGTAAGAATTTTATTATTTATACCCCGCCCATCTGGCTGAGTTGCCCCAGCCACTCTGGGCGGCTCCCAATCAAGTGTTAAGAACAATACAGCATTAAATATTAAAAACTTCCCTAAACAGGGCTGCCTTCAGATTTCTTTTAAAAATAGGATAGCTGCTTATTTCCTTGACATCTGATGGGAGGGCGTTCCACAGGGCGGGCGCCACTACCGAGAAGGCCCTCTGTCTGGTTCCCTGCAAGCTCACTTCTCGCAGTGAGGGAACAGTCAGAAGGCCCTCGGCGTTGGGTCTCAGTGTCCGGGCTGAATGATGGGGGTGGAGATGCTCCTTCAGGTATACAGGACAGAGGCCATTTAGGGCTTTAAAGGTCAGCACCAACACTTTGAATTGTGCTTGGAAGCGTACTGGGAGCCAATGAAGATCTCTCAGGACCGGTGTTATATGGTCCCGGCGGCCACTCCCAGTTACCAGTTTAGCTGCCGCATTCTGGATTAATTGCAGTTTCTGGGTCACCTTCAAAGGTAGCCCCATGTAGAGCGCATTGCAGTAGTCCAAGCGGGAGATAACTAGAGCATGCACTACTCTGGCGAGACAGTCCGCGGGCAGGTAGGGTCTGAGCCTGCGAGCCAGATGGAGCTGATAGACAGCCACCCTGGACACAGAATTAACCTGCACCTCCATGGACAGCTGTGAGTCCAAAATGACTCCCAGGATGTGCACCTGGTCCTTCAGGGGCACAGTTACCCCATTCAGGACCAGGGAGTCCCCCACACCTGCCCACCCCGTCCCCCCAAAACAGTACTTCTGTCTTGTCAGGATTCAACCTCAATCTGTTAGCCACCATCCAGACTCCAACCGCCTCCAGGCACCTTACAGGACCTTCACCACCTTCACTTGTTTCGATTTAAAAGAGAGGTAGAGCTGGGTGTCATCTGCATACTGATGAACACCCAGCCCAAACCCCCTGATGATCTCTCCCAGCAGCTTCATATAGATATTAAAAGCATGGGGGAGAGGACGGAACCCTGAGGGACACATGTGAGAGCCCAGGGGTCTGAACACTCATCCCCCAACACCACTTTCTGGACACGGCCCAGGAGAAAGGAGCGGAACCACTGTATAACAGTGCCCCCAGCTCCCAGCCCCTCTAGACGGTCCAGAAGGATGTTATGGACGATGGTGTCAAAGGCCGTTGAGAGATCCAGCAGAACTAGGAAACAGCTCTCACCTTTGTCCCTAGCCCAGCGCAACCAAGGCAGTTTCAGGCCCATGGTGAGGCCTGAATACCGATTGGAAGGGATCCAATAGTATCAAATATCCTCCAGGATATTTGGTTTCTTTACAAGTTTATGAAATTTTAGTTAAATTGTAACTGGTAAGCTACTGTGGCATAGTCCTAGAAGAGATTACTGTAAATTAATATCTCCATTATTTATTATGACTACACTAGGATGAAATCGTCAACTTCAGTGGAATGAAATCCATGTAAATTGCTTGTGATTCATTACTCAGAATGAAGATTTCTCTCATGTTAGCCTTTTTTTTTTTTTTTTAGAAGACGGGCTTGAAAGCCAGATGGCCACGCCTGCTTACTCCTAAAGTAACTATGCACTGTCTGAAAAGGCCCATTAAGAAGGAAGCTCTAGCTCTTTTCACGTTGAGAATTAAAATGACAGAAATACCATGTGTTTCTCCGCAAGACCCAATTAAAGGGAATGTTTATCATTGTAAGTGTTCTCCAAACTCATCAGTATAAGTTACAAATACTAACCTAGAGCCATGCTGGTCCCGTGAAAACTCAACTATGTGTCCAACTAAGTCTCTTAGTTGAAGATTAGGGAAGCGATTGTTTCGGAAATCTTCCAGTAACCTACTACGTCCAGAAGGCATAATGTCAGACCGACTGTAACGGAGGCGCGAAGGAGGAAACAATTGGCTGCTGGAGCTAAAAAGACTGGAGGTGTTTGCTGCACTGCGATACTTTGCTTCTGCTCCAGGGGCTGCAGAGATATAGCGACCACTACCGTTGGTCAGTCCTCCTACAATGAAGCAGCCATGTTAGTAAGAAGTCTTAATTATGCCGTAAATACTAAGAATATAAATTGTACAAGAAATCAGGAAGACTAGAATAATGAGCGTCTTCTCGCACTTCATTTTCATTAAATTTCGAGTAAAGTAGTTTCTACCACTAGAAAGGAACGAGCAAATCTTTTTTTAAAAGAAATATAGTAATAATAATAAAGGTGAAGCAGCAATAAAATTGAGACAGCTCCAACATAAAACAAAAACCCCACAACTAGCTTTCGGACACCAGTGCACTTTGCACAAAAGAAAACTTGAACTTTCAACAATGGGCAACTAGTATACACGCTATGCCAACCACAGGAACTAAAGCGAATCATCAGCTACTCTTTCCGGACTCTCACACTTGGCAGGCTAAGTTGTATCAATTGAAGTCATACTCTTGATTTAAATCATACACTGATTTAAATGAGAATGACTAATCTAACTTCAGTGATTTCAGTGGGTCCGTTCTATGATATAAATCGAAGCAACCCACTATGTAAATAGCGGAAGACCTTCACACTTCCTCTCTTAAGGATTAATGTGAAAGTTCAGTAGGACAGCTTCTTAATATGCTATCAATGTTTGTATAGAAAAAGAATCTGGAAGTCTGATTTTCAGAGGTTTTCAGAAGACATACTCAAAGCCCTGCCTTGACTGCTTTGTTATGGCTTCTCCCAAAACAGCCACATAGCTCCCGCCTCTACAAAGCACAAGGTCAACTGCTACTAAGACAACATCAAAATTGGAAGCTTTTGCAAAGAAGACATCTTAAGCCACATTGATTAGCCAGCACTCACCATGCCAATTTGGTTCATGTTATTTAAGCACTAGTCTAGAGACTTACAGATAGTCTACAGCAAACATTTGCTGATGTTACTAGCATGGAACCAGCCCTGTGAGGTAACAGAGGGGAGGCCAATCCAGCATTCACTGTGTGGGATGTGAAAGTAAAGTATGGAAAACTTGTCATCCACACATAAATTATTTTGGTTTGGAATCTTTGGTGCAAATATGGGGGGGGGATCAGGGGGGGTGAGTAATTAATTTAAATAAAATACGGATCATATTAAACATACAAGTCTAACCAGCACAGCTTAATTTAGCTGATCACTTAGGAAAGGTGATAGAACGTTTTCAAGCTGACACTGGGATAGAGCCACAGTCTGTATATGAGTTGAAGACCACTCATGCAACTGGTATTTCCTCTTAGCCTGCGTCTCCACAAAGTCTCTCTGGAGGGCTGGGAGTCCTCCTGAACAGCATGAGCTGCGGCTACAATAAAAAGATTGGTTGCATGAGCTGTCTTCTGCTTGTGCAACCTTTGGATTCAATCAACTGCTTTTTTTAAAAAAAAAAACCAAACCTATAGTTACATTATCAATACATCAAACTTACTGCACGCTTACTAGACCCAAGTAATGGCGGTGATTTAGCAAAAGACCCCCCCCCCCAATTGCTCAATTTAAGAAAATAGCTCATGCTGAATTATTTCCCCCCAGGAATAGGAGTGAGGAACCTGGATGCGGTCTCCCAGACCTCTACTTGACACTCAGAACTTTCTCCAGACCATTTTTCGTCACTGGTCCCTGATTCACACCCTCCTTGGGAGTTTTTGCCTGTCTGGAACGTGCCCTGGACGACACCTTTGGCTTGCCCAGGTGGAGGTCAGAGGTCGGTGCTAGGGCTGGGCGATATATATCAATATATCATCCAAAACTGGATTAAAGTCCATAGCACGATATCAGTTTTTAGCAAATCTGAAGAAAGCCAGCGAGATAGATAGTGATACACACAACAGCTTAGAATGTACATATTGAACAAGTACTGCTCACAGCGAAAGGCCAGCACAAAGATTTAGTAGCTTGACTACTATGTTAGTTACAAGATGGGGGTAGGGTCCAGAGAGCCCATTGTGGAAAGAGATTGCCCCTTTTTGCTACGTCCCATGTACTGCAGAGAGTCCAGCAAATTCCCTGGCACAGTTCATAGGAAGAAACACAGGCTGCAGTAGCAATGAGGCAGTGGGGGGAAGTCTCTTCTGTAAGCAACAGTTTCTTGGATCCCACTCATTGGACTTCACTTATATGAGCTACTCAAATGACCAGATCTCTTTAACCATTGCTTTTATATAGATTTTATGAACAGCCCCTGTTTTCAGAGATATAGTGACAGGTAAGTTATGCACAGGTAAAACACAGACACATCAGTTTTGCATTTCTTAAACATCCACAGAAGAGGAAAGGACAGAATAGTAGTGAAGCAGCTTGGTGAGTTAAGAAGAGAACCTGACGTTTTCCTTCTGCCCTCTTTTCTGAAGGTACAGAGAAATAAAAATGACCAGTCCTTGTTCTGGAAGTCAGCCTGCATGAAGAGGAAACTTACTTTGCAGTGTTATTAATATGGACACCTGAAGACTAAATGTTGATTTAAATCTGGGAATACAGGCACTAGGTTCAATGCAGTAACAAGGTGAAAGCCACCAGGTGGCAGCAAAGTTAGCTTAATAATCAAGTGAAAAGAATTAGGTACCATTTCCTGTAATTTAAGTGCACAGACTCCAAAGTCTGTATTATTGATCTGCATAAAAATTCTTATTCATAAGAAGAATTTAGTTTGCACCCACTTTGTGGTGTTATTAGCGCACACAATCAAGGCATAACAAATGAGGAATATCTTGCACACGATTTGTTTTTGTTTGTTTTTTAAACAAAAGCCCATGAATTTAAATCATAACATTTTTCCATTTTACTTTACTTGATAGCCAAAGTTACTAAATATAAATGTGTGATCAGATTTGCATTTAGCATGTGATCCTTCAGGCTATGAACAAGTTGACTTACTAATCTTATTTGGAAAATAGTCCCTGGAAACAATTTTTTCTTTTAGTTATTTAGCAAGTAGTGGCAAATACAAAAGGGGAATAATCTTGTTTTGTTCTCCATCTTCTACAGAAAATCTTGCCCCAGTCATTTTATAAAATGTGACATGAAATAATCTGTTGATGTTTTTACCACCAACGCTGTAAGAAATCAAACTAGCTAGATCAAGACTTCTGTATATATTCAGGTATGTGGAAGGAAGGCAGTGACAGAACGATGGCAGAAATAATAAACACAGCAGAGGTGAAAACAGCATCTCTATATCATGGTGAAGATGAGGGCAGGCAAGGTAAAGAAATAGAGCAAACACACTGGGAAAAACAATTCATAAAAAGGGGTCAAGAAAAGAGCAATGAACAAAAGATAAAATGAGATTTCTATTCTAAGACCCTGCTCACTAGTTTGGGCCTCTGAATTTTCTCCAAGACAGAAAATAATACAATATAAACAGGCTAAGAAATCCTTTTTGTGATATTGAAAAAAGGAGATACCCAATGTTCCACCATCTTAAGAGACTTCTGCTTGTAGAACAGAACTTTTCCTTCCTATCCCCTTTCCTGAAGCCATCCTTCAAAATCAGATCCACAGGGCTGGGGAATCCCACCACAGCAGATTTTTGAGAAATGCAGGGGAGAGGAAGGGAAAGCCTTGTTGCATGAGTGGAGTTCTGCTCACAAAGCACTGAGTACAACCCAGACACATTCTGATATTCTTCTTTATAGAGCTAACAAAGAACTAGAGAGGTGACAGACCTGATTCATAAGCAATTCAAATCTGAATTTTTATGTTTGAAATGTTTGAAAGCTGGAACAATAAGTACAAATACAGATTCTCATGCAGCATAAATTTTGCAAAGATGAAATAATGGAGCCTATTCTTTTTTCCTCTCTCTCTCTCTCTCTGACTAACCCATTTTGGTACAACTCCAAAAGCTAGCACTTATTCTTGAGAGAGAAACTCTCCATAAATCTTGATGATGTATACCATTTTAGGTACTGAGAATTTTGGGGTGAGAAACCCTCACCTACTTTAACTGTAGGTTTGACTTTTCTCTTAACCTGAGCTTTTGGCTTTTAATCGAAAGCGTGCCATTACGGCCTCTTTTAGTGGGATGCAATCCCTAAGTCTGCATCTTTTATCTGTATAACTGTGCTTTTAGATGTTTATAGGACTTTTTCAATTGCTTTTATTATAGCTATCTTCAAATATCTTAAGGGCTGTCACATGGAAGAGGGAACTAGCTTGTTTTCTCCTGCTCTGGAGGGTAGGACTCGGAACCAATGGCTTCAAGTTACAAGAAAGGAGATTCCAACTAAACATTCAAAAAAACTTTCTGACAGTAAGAGCTGTTTGGCAGTGGAACAGATTCCCACAAGGTTTTTAAACAGAGGTTGGATAGCCATCTGTCATGGATGCTTTCGCTGAGATTCCTGCATTGCAGGGGGTTGGACTAGATGAACTCTTGGGTCCCTTCCAACTCTATGGCTCTATTATTCTATTGTAAGTTACTCTGAGCCACTATGGGAAAAGTGACTCATATACTGTATATAACAAAGAAAGAAAACAATCTGCAGATAATTCAACATGTTAGTAGAACTACCAGCTACTTTTTCATCCACTTGCAAGGAATTCTCAGTTTGAAACTTTATTAGCTCAATATGATAACAGGGCATATTAATTCTACACCTCCTGGCAGTGTGCAGAGGTTCCTTAAGCAAAGCATTTTTTGTCTATCCGGATACTATAGGTGAAATTCAACACTATGGGTTATTTCCGCTCATAAAACAGGGCATCCCCTTTCTCTCCTCTGCTTTGCAGCCCCAAATCTGCTCCATGGGGTGTCCCGCAATCTCCCCCTCCCACAGCAAATTGAGGGGGTGCGTGTCAGGGGGAAAAAAGGAAGAGGAAGTTCTGTTGCATGAGCAGGTGTCTGTTCTGCAAAGGTATGAACACTCCTGGGTACAGCGCACTCTTCTGCATCAAAGACCTGTAAAATTTGTTCAACTAGCTATTTAGAAGCAAAATGTGCATGCTTCAAATGGTCACTGAAATTCTGCGCAAAGTTATGCTTTAGGAAATTCTCACATCATCATCTGAAAAGCTAACATTTTAATTTCCTAGATGATGTTTTAAAATTTAATTTTTAATGTAAAAAGCGCCCACACAAAAGCATCCTTCAGAGCACACAGCTAGACAGTCATAAAGGCATATTAAGAGGTTTTCGTTACTGTACAAAAAGACACAGTGTAATTTGGAAGTTGAAATTATTGCAATTAAAAAGGCAGCAGCTTTTACAGCCTGCTTGGATGGAGGGCCTCTATATCAGATTGCCTCCATTTTGAGTCTTTTTGTGTCTGTGCTTTATGTAGCCCACACTGTACCATCAATGCACAAAAACCTCAATACAGCACTATAACTCCTCAGTGGAACTGACAAGTGGGTGGGAGGAGCGAATTGACTGAACACGAGAACAGAGAAACAGATGTCTCTAGTGTTTTTTGGAAAGCTGTTTGTTTGCCACACATCTGAACACCTTTTAAGAGATAATAACCAAATTTTGCATGAGCATTACATGTTTTTAGGTGCCAGGCAAGAACATTCCTCTTTACCCAGGCCTTTCACCATTAAATAATATATGGCTTGTGAAAACTTTGGGGCGGGGAGGGAGAGACACTATGATTATTTTATTATGATCCTGTCTATTATGTTTTTATTTTTATGCTCCATAAAATGTGTTCTTAATGTTGCACACCAACCTGAGATCTTTTGATAAAGGGTGGTATATAGTTCCTATATTATTATTATTATTATTATTATTATTATTATTATTTCCTGATAAGAAGCAGGTTGCCTTCTATGTTTGGATATAACTGGCTGTTGTTTGGAATCCAGATGGCGGATTGGACCTTTCAAAACTACTGATTTTAGCCACTGATGTCAAACTTCATTACAGCGAGGTCTGAAGTTGCAGGTATATGTATAAAAGGGTAGAAAGAGCCATCTTATTGGCTGGATAGATCACTTACTGGTTCACACTGAGAAGCTATTTCTGAATATCCTCAAAGGCTGGAAGACAGAGCTGCCCATAGACAACAATGGAGAAAATAATAATTTAATATAGCTGGGATGGGCATGAGCATCCAGATGACTCCATCTCTTCCCTCCCCACTACATATATCTATATATGTATCTATGTATGTAACTATCTATCTATCTATCTATGGAGGGGAAACTCCAAGAAGCAGCCCACCACAGGCTTTGTAGGCTCAGTGAGCATGGAATGCTGCCTACCAGGATGAGGTTGGATATGGACCTTCAGGACAGGGAGGAATGGCATTGAACATCTAATCCTAAACAACAGTACTCCACACTGTGAGCTTTGGGTACAGGTTTGAACAAATGGTCATGATCATAGCACAGTGTGTGCCTGCTTTATTTCTGATCAAGCAGAAAAAGCCACAGAAGGTGTACTGGGTGCAGATTTCAAAGTGTTATGAATCTCACCTTTCATTTTTAGACATTTCAGAATTAAATGAAGTGTCTAATGTATGGTAAAATATCAAAAGCCTGGGGAGTTGCTAAGTTCCAGGCTTCCAGCAGGCACAGAATAATAATAATAATAAATGGATACATATTTTGTGTCTTCCATGAATGTTCAGAAGCAGAATAAAACAACGCAGCACAAACTATGCAAATTAAGAACAACTTAATTAATAACTTTCAGAGCTATAGGATAGCTTTTGTTGAACTTGGGATTATCCCAATGCAGAATTTTAAAGTTTTAGCCAGAGTACAGCCGGCCTAATCATATGTCATTTACAGGAGAGTAATGTCAAACCAAGAAGCGCCTCGGGTCACCTTTGCTCTCGACTACAGAGAACAAATAAGGTCTGATTCTGGATGGAATCTAAAGAGTGGTGTGCTATTAAGGCAAGTGCTTCTTTTGCAAAAAAATAAAAAACATCATACTGAATTCCACTCAGGAATACAGAGTCGTACCTCGGTTTTTGAACAGCTTAGTTTTCAAACGTTTTGGTTCCGGATGCCGCAAACCCGGAAGTAACTGTTCCGGTCGGGGAACTATTTTTGGAAGCCGAATATCCGACAGGGCTTCGGAATCAGAAGCCACGCTTTGGTTTCCGAATGTTTGGAAGTTGAACAGACTTCCGGAACAGATTCTGTTTGACTTCCGAGGTATGACTGTATTTAGTAACAGCTTTTCTGGGTGTGCCAAGCATTTTGGTAGGAGATGGGGTTGGAAAATCCTGGGTATATGCACATAAGTCTCTTGTCAACCACTGTGCTTACAGGAAGCTGGTATTTTTCCTTGCACTGTGACAGAAAACTTCAGTTCTTCCTGGGGACAGATCAAGAGGCAAGATGCAAACCCTACTCAAATGCAGAGGTGCAAGAGAACCTGAAACACATTCCAAGTAAAAATGTCTCCAAGGAGAGACAATATTCAAGTACAAGGCTAGACAACCTTGAATACTGTTTTACATCTGGTAATCTTTGTTTCAATGCAGTTAGAACCAACTTAACTTCATAAGAATGGGTTAAGTGCTACCTTCATCTTCTAGCTAACTTATTTTAGGAAAAAATAAACAAAGAAAAAACATAGTTTGGATAATAAAATCTATCTTTTTATTTGGGGCCTATTAGTCCAGCCTCCTGTGCTCACAATGGCTGCCTACTGTAAGCTTACAATCAGGACCTACTTTATAATATAATTTATTATAAAGAAAATGACAATATTTTAGACTGAAGCCTCATTTTAATAAGGATACTTTGCACTTTATAATCTACACATCTTACATAGGTTTATTTAGTACTACTTCTACATGCAGCACTTTTTAAAGTACTTTATTTTCTATATACAGCCATACAGGGCCAATAAATATATGCCTAAACTGCCTGTTTTTATAAGTCAATGGGAAAGACCAAAGAGTATTTATTTACGTACTGTGCCATTATAGCACAAGTAGATTTATAATATGTATGACATTTTAAAACATGTCTGGTAGTCATGTTTTCATATCTGTGTGGTAGAGAAACCCTTCTCTAGCAAAATTCCCAGTGCCTCTACAGCTCACAAGCGTAAAGCATACAACCTTCAGTTACACAGCTTATACTAACCTGAAGTTACATAGCTCACAGCATTACTAACAGAAAGGTTCAGAATTGCAAATTGCACAAAAAGCCCCCCCCCCCCAATGTATGTAATTCAATCTTTTAAAAATAAGCCTAATACCATGCTAAATAAAACATTTATCAGCATAAACAAAATTTGATGAAAATATTACTAATGCAGTAGGTGTGATGGAGAGGATGTATTATAGACTACATATCACTGCTGTTCCCCCTCCAGCTGTTTTGAAGGCAAGTTTCTAAAAGACTTCCTGCAAAATCATTCTAACCTGTTGGTTCAAAAAGCAGGATTTTTCAGTACTGCAAACTTTGCATGTGCTTTTCTTTAACAAAGATATCATAATTCCTGTCACTACCACGCACCAAACATTAGCCTAAAGCCGACTCCATAAATAGCAGACATATGTTTAACACAGAAACAAGAGGAATATATATACCTTTTCCTGTCGTACAACAACAACAACAAAACAACCCAATCTTGGTTTGTTTTTTCTCTCTAGAAATCGGGCTTTCGTTTTGATGCGGCAAGGGTGGTTATGGAAAAACATGTTGCTCCAGGGGGCTCATTTAACTTTCGGTAACTGCTTCCATTAAAAGATTTGACTGTGCTGAGCAACACACTGGGACCCGGCCCGTTATGCAACATTTGTTTCCTTTACTGAAGAGGCAAATTGACATTTAACCCAACATAAAAATATTTAATATACATAGAAAAATACATATACACACATACATACACAAACAAAAAAGGGCTTTTGTTTTTTTTACCTAAATGCAAACTGGATGAGGATCCATGTGATGAAAGTGAAGGCGGAGGCGTAAGTGAATGTCCAGGAGTTTGGCTTGGCAGAGGCATGCCTATTGGGCTTGGAGAGGAGGAAAATCCCAGACTATTGTAAAATGGCTGCCCTATGGGTGCTAGGCTGCTACTAGATCTTTTGTACAAGTCAGAGCTAGTAGATAGAGACTCTCTCCTTGTGGCACTACTACTTGCAGAACTGCCAACTGAAGGAAGAAATAAAAAGACCCTATTACATACAGCGTCAACCAAGGAAAACCTAGCCCCAACCTACAGCTGGGTCATAACAGATGTGATCACAATCATTATAACAATCAAAATTATTCCAAAGACAAATTAACTGTGATAACCACACATGATTTAATATAAATCACAAAATGAGCACAAGCATCATCCCTCAAATCAGGAAGGATTTTAAGCAATCGCCAAGTCTCGACACACTCAAGACTTAGTAACATTTCTGAGGTTATTTTGATACACTGGAGTCGGGCTTTGGGACCAATAGTCAGGTATGTCGTACTGTGTTAAAATGAACCAATGAAGCGGAGTATTAATTTGAAATAATTTCCGTAAATGGTGTCCCCTCCCCCCTCCAGCTGAATTACTATATTGACAGGAGCTCCCCCCGCAACAACCCCCAGCTCAGTAGTGCTACGGGATTTGGTTCTACAGGAGAATCCCTAAGAGACATTTTGTTCCATGCTACTTCACAATTGCTACTAAAAATTTTTTCCTGAGATTCCACACTTCTCAGAAGCATTCAAATTGATCACACTCTCTAAGTAAGCACTCTTTTAAAAAAGAAAAGGTCCAATGACATTTTGAAGGCAGATCATAAAAGGGATTTGAACTGCAATAGCCAAATATATGTGGTCACGTTTAAACAAGGAACTGGGATATGTACTTTAAAAGTATGGACTAATAGTTCAATGACGTACTTGAATTTTGTAGGATAAATGTCATACCATTTAAAAAATCTTAATCTGTAACTTTATGTGAAAGTAAAGGCAATGGGCAGATGTTGAGATTACCTAAACATATTTGAAGACACTAGGTAAAACTTTGCTTCCCTGTTTAGCAAATGCGAGCAAATATCTTGAACTGCTTCACCTGTTTGTTAAGAAGCAGTCAAAAATTTTCTGCTTTTAATTCAGAAATGCAGTGTATGTCCAGATTAACTGCCACTCATCATTATGTCAAATTAAATACAGAAGCAGGCTGGTGTCTATCAATCATCTAGGACTCAAGCAACATATAACATTTGCCTGAGAGGATTAATATACTACCCACCCACAACCTGGAGATGTGTGACACACATTTTTGCTATATCCCTACTCTGCTTTGTAGAATCTGATTTTAGCACGCTACAAAGGACTAGTCAAATAACAAGAAGAAATAAGTCGCAGCTAATATTTTAATTCTAATTTTGGATAGCATTATTAACAAACATAATAACTGGGGAAACGATTTATCAATATGAAGAGCTCTTTTAAAAATAGTATATGCATAGCACTCTCAAACATAATTGGGGACTTGAATGGACTTATGTTTATATAATCAAGCCAAGATTACAGGATTAAACTTGGAAATAACAAATGGCTGCAATTAACTAGTGCCAGGGTACAAGGAGCACAAAACTACAATAAGGTTGTTTTTATAAATGGGCACATCTGTATCATACTCAGCTAAGGGAGTGAAAAACAAAACAAAACAAAACTTTGGAAGTCTTAAGGGTACTCTGTGTAAAAATGACATGGACATAATTCTCCATTTTGCCATTCATAGCTTTCTGTTGAAAGCATTTTAAGATTTGTACAAAGGGCATCTTTTTTTACACTACATTATATGGACTCATTTAAAAAATGGAATTTACTGGCTAAGATAAAAACAGTCCTACAAGACTAAAAAGGGAAAATGCTTATAATGGTCAAAAGTGAAGAGTTTTATTAAATTCTCCAATACATTAAAAAAATTGTTTCACATGGGACATTTTCCACTGTCAGGGTGTGCAAGCGCACTTATATTTTGTAATGTGCGCAGAATTGTGTGTGCTTCACACAGACCTTCTTCTATGCAATGCAAACAACAAACTACTCATGTGTGCTTCACCATACATTCAACACTTCCTTCAATAATAAACCAATTTCCACAATCTTAACAGGCTGACAAATTCTAGAAAGGTGTTGAGGTACTTGTGTTACCAAAGCTGTGAATGAAACAGTAACGATCATTGTCCAATGAAAATAAAAGAAAATGGCTATTCCTAAACATTTATAAACTAAAGCAGGTCCAATAGGAATGGGAGGGCGGGAATTTCGCTTGCCCACTGCTCAGCCATAGTTGCATTTAAGGGACATAAACTTTGAAAAGCACAAGACAAATCAACCACAATAGAGAATTGGTTTGAAAAGCTCCAAATGTGAGCTGTCTGTCAAAGGCATCAACACGCTCAACCCTGTTTCTCGTGTACAAGGCCTAGCAGGCTAAACTGCCTTCCGTTGAACTCCAGATGTACCATTTTTGATGCATGTAGGAAATAAATATGCAAAAACAGGATTTTCTTTCATCCACAGCAATTCATACAACCTGTTCAGTTTTCCTTCTTTAAAAATGTAACTTACTAGATGCGCCAAATCCACCGAGTGCAGAGCCAATGGCAGCTCCTAAGGAGCTGCTGCTTCCAAAGCCAAGGGATGTGCTTCCTGGTTGGCCAGGGCCATGCGAAAAGAGTGAACTGCTCTGGGAGTTATTGGTCAAAGTATTGTTGCCATAAAATGAATTGGACTGTAGGCTACTGTTTGTTTGCTGCTGCTGTGGCTGCGGCTGGGCACCAAGGGGCCGGAAAAGCCCGTTTGTGGCTGCTGTGAGGTTGTTTGCTGTTCCTCCAGCTGAAGCTGCTGCTGCTGTAAAGAGACATGGTTTTCAGTCATCAGATTCTAGAACATTTCGATTTTAGAAAAATGAGACTACTATTTTCATTACTCTCTCCCATAAAGGCAAATCATCAGTGAACAAAAGAAATATCCAACGCAAAAACGATCCCAGTTGCATAAGGTGTTAAGTAGATTAAATGAATTTTAAATGAAAATACAAGAGCAAATTGCTGGGGAAATGAAAAGGGGTCTACAAATTCAACAGCCTTTCCCACTGTGGAAAGCTGTCCTGCCTTGGATGCTATCTCCACAAACTGTAAAGAGCTTGGAGAAGGAGAGGGATCTCCCACTTGTATGCTGGTCTTTCACAGAAAGCTGAAGGATTAAGAGTAGTTATTGCTTTCTGCAAAAGACAAGCAGCAAGGAATTAAAAAGACCTTTCCTCTTTTCCAAGTCTTCTACTGCACATGCAGCAAAGGGGTGTTATCTCTTTGCCTCAGGTGCTGCCATCTTTCTCACTGCTTTCCCCCTTTCAATGTTTGCTGTTAGGGTGAATCTGATGGGCCGTCACTTCACTTCCCTGCTCACTGTCGAGGGAAAACAGTATCTGAAACCCAGGCACTATTATATACTCTTTTCCCAGTATGGCTATTCAGTTTCCCCCACTTCTACTTCATGGGTTTACAGCAAGCACAGGACTAGGATCCAGGTACCCTTCTGCCTCATCCAAATAAATCTCTTGAAAACTAAAGTCACCCTTAACCTTATGCCGGATTATTATTATTATTTTTTTTTGGGGGGGGGGGGGGTTGATGCCAAAATTTTCTGAATGCAAAAATAAAACAAAAAGAATCAAATCATCAAACCCGGCATTAGAAACCACTCCTTTTAGTTCCTTTCGTATTATTCACTCTATAGCTACACCAAGCTTACCTGCAAGGCTTTGAAGCAACCCCCACATTAGGAGAGCAGAACAAAGCAAAACGCTCCTTTAACATTCAGCGATTACTCTTCCTCTCCCCAAACTACTTCCTGGGCATGGCTTCCTATGTTATGGTAGAATGTCTGTGTGTTTTAGACTGCGCATAGACTCCTATCAAGGTGGAAGGAACCACAAGGGTCATCTAGTCCAACCCCCTGCAATGCAGGAATCTTTTTGCCTAACATGGGCGTAGCTACAGTTTAGCAACGGCAGGAGGTCCCTTCTGTAATTGCAGCATGCTGCCATCACAGAAATTACTACCAACATGTATAGCGGCTGGGGTGGGGGGTGGTAATAGAAACATGCTAGGTTGCCTTATATAGAGCCCAACTATTGCTACATCTTGCTCATTACTATTGACACAGATGGAAAGCAGTTCCTCAGGGTTTCAAATCAGAAGACCTTCGCATCCCTACCTAGAGATGCCAAAGAACGAGCCTTGGAACTTATGCATGCAAAGCAGGCAAGTTACAGCACTGAAGTACGGCAGATTTAATTTTGGGATTTCTACTTGGGTTTTTAAATACAGGAAAAAACCAAGGTGCCTCTGAGCACATTCTGAGCCTCAGCATTTCAATTCCGTATCAGAATTGAACCGGGCTAAGCTCCCAGACCATTCACACAATGGCTTTCTTTATTTCAGCAGCTTAATTCAAGGTTAGTAAGTCATTTTGTGCCTGATTTTTTTTAAGAACTGAGATTCAAAAACCCTTGCAGGTCTACTGCAAATCTCCCAGAGTGTTATCAGCAGATCTCAATCTACTTTCTGTTCACCTGTGTACAACCTGGTTCATACAATCATTTCTCCACATGTCCAATATCTAAAGAGAGCTGCATTTGGTGGTGGTGGTAAAAGGGAATTTCTGAAACAATCCAGGAAATAGTCCTTCAGTAATTTAGCTTTTTATGCTTGGGAAGGGACAGGAGATGCAAATCTTGAGAGAAACAACCCGAACACAAACTTTCTTGCATATATGCGGGAGCTATGAGCAAATAATGCTAGCTATAAAGCAACACTATTTGAAAGAGAGCAAGCAGGGGGAGAGAACTGATTACTGTTAGAATGTTTCCCTATCAAATTGTGATAGTGCTGCAAAAGATCTACCTACCTGCTTGTGCAGCTGCAGAACTGATGATGACAGGTGTTGAAGCCACCAATCTGACAGGTCCTCCAAGTCCAGTTCTGGCCCCAGGACCCACTACCAATGCACCAGTCTGATCGTAATAGGCAGTAGGGGCTAAGACTTGATAGCCTAATCAATACAAAACAAACACTAGTAAAATTTATTTATTTTGGGATAAGCGTTTTATTTTGCATCTATATGACACATCGCTTTTTAAACAACGAGCAAGCTGACAGCTTTTTATCTCCTAGAAAAGATGAACCAATTCTATTCCAAATCTAGTGGCAAAGGTTTGGCTCGGAGGTACAGTTTGCCACGCACCTGCTTGTCTAAAGACTAGACAGAGCAACTGTCTCTGAGCCACTCCCCCATCTGCCTTCATCTATTTGCTCTCCTAACTGTCTGCCCCAAGCTTTCCAAGTAAGGAAAAGAAATACAAAATAATGGCTTTTCTGAGACAGTGGGAACGAATGTAACAAATGCTGCATGAGCCACCTAACATGACCTGAAAGAGTGCTGCTTGTATACAGCCAAGGCAGAGGCATCTGTTTTTAGAGAACTGGTGACACACCCCCACACCCCACAGCAACACTACAGAACCACAGTGGAGGACACCTCAGCATAACAGTTTCATTTTAAAATTATTATTTTTTATTAAAAAGCACTTTTTTGGAAGGGGGAACAAAAAAACCCCAAAACTTAGGGGAGTGGGGCTGATCCATCCTGCAAATCTGTCACCTCTACAGAGATGTAAAAAGCCAATGCACTGCTGTGTATTTGTCACAACGTGTGTGGAAACCCAGGGCCAATCAAGGAGATGGGGAAAAAGGTCAATGGTTTCTTCTGAAGTCCCCCTTCCATGCATGTAAGGGCTGCATGCAAGTGGCAGATTATGCCCAGGAGGCTCTGTGTTTCATTTTGTTGTAAATACAAGCAAATAGTGCACATTAAATGGGGAGAAAGGGATACTGGAGATCACATGCATGTTCATAGGCATGTGACTCTATACCATTTGAAATCAACAAAGAACTATATATAGTTACAGGGATACTGAAACCTTCTGAGGAACAGGAGAATTGTAGTTTCATATTACAAATGCATATTCAAAACTAGACTGTGCTGTTCTTTTCTACTACCTTCACTACCATTTTCACATGCTAGCAAATGGGTCAGGCTTTCACTGCACTCTGCTTTACTGCTCCTCTGTAAAGAATGCAGAATAGGCCGTTAGAGAATAAATGTTACAAGTAATATAACAAAAACTCTTTCACAGATAAAAACCGCTCTTTATCAAATAGATGGCCCTTCTCTAGAACAAACAGAGCCAAGAACTGTTTTTCTTTGTTTGTTTTTTTTGCATAAAGAACACTCCTCAGGAAATGTACCTGCTTTTTGAGGTCAAGCATATCACACAATAGTGCAATATATCATTATAAATATGCATGATACTGGAGGCTCAAATTTTTAAATGTATGAGTGCCAATATAAAGGTTGAGAGCAATGTAGATGTGGTGCAAGTTCATTTGTATGGTACAAAATAGCATTTGCATTTTGTTTTGTGAAATTTTAATTACTGTACTGCAGCCTGCCAAAAACTTAGGTCATTTTGCCTAGTGAAATATTTATTGAAAATACAGTGGTCCCTCGGTTTTCGAACACAATCCATTCCGGAAGATCGTTCGGCTTCCAAAACGTTTGAAAACCGAGGCACAAAGGGCAACCTGCAATTTCAATGGAGAAAATTGGGGGGGAAACTCAGCGGAAGCCGTTCAACTTCCTAGGCGCGTTCGAAAATGGAAGCATTTACTTCCGGGTTTTTGGCGTTCAAAAACTGAAATGTTCAGCTTCCAAGACGCTCAAAAACCGAGGTACCGCTATAGTTAAAAGATTTAACTTTGGTCATAGAGAAGCTACTAAACTCTAGGACAGTGTTCTTCAGTCTTGGGCTCCCATCTGTTTTCGGACTCCAACTCCCATCATTCCCAGCCAGTTAGACACTGATCTGGGATGCTGTGAGTTGTAGTCTTGCAACATCCAAGTTTGAAGGCGGCCACTCTAGAAGACCCCAGGAGTTTTATAGAACACTGTGTATGATCATACAGCAGCCTACTCTCCTCACAGCAACTACAATGGATGCTTTAACACCTGTGCTCTGTGCACCCTCTGATGATGGATGTATGAGTTTTCTCCACGTTTCTTGTAAACTGCAATTCTGAACAAAGCAGCAGCCAATTACAGCATACAGCCGATGAAAGCTATGACATGTGGGTTTTTGAGAGGGCAGTGGCTATTCCTAGATAAGGGGTGTGCAGGAGTGCAATCCTGATTCCTCTAATTGCTGCCATTAAAGAAAAAGAAAAAGAAAGAGTACTGACAGAGTCAAGAAGGGAATTCTTGACTTCACTGAATTATTTGTTTAGTCAATTGACTGACTTTCTGGCCCTAACAAAAAGGTGACCTAATAATCATGTACATCATGATAGTAAGACTTTAATACCAATCATTGCTACATTAATGACAGCAAATTCAAAGGAACCCTTGTGCTATGGGTTAAAAATGTTATTTTGTTTAAAAACTTTATGAATCATGACAGCAGAACAAGCACTGCAGTGATCTTGCACAAAACAAATGTTATTTTCATTGATCTGATCTATCACCTCCAATCTTCTGAGCTAAAGGACCTTTACCTTTCTATGTGTAAGAGGTTCTCTCAAACTCTGGTCTGCAGACAGCTGGTGGTATGTAAGTTTCATTTAAGAAAGGTTACAGAACACTCAAGACTATCTGGCCTTGATTTTTTTCTTCTGACAAATAGAGGCCATTTTAACCCAACCCAGAATTACCAAACAGGCTAATGAGGCCCTGACCTAGGGCCTATGATTTTCATAATATGTCACTTGTGTAGCCTAATTTATTCTAAACATCTACCAGTTAGTTGAAGGTCTCTAGTTGGCCAGGGCTCCGTGATTTTCCTATCACAGCACTGATTTTGACAAAGCTGGTACTGAAGGAAATAAAAGTTTATTGTGGTCCATCAAGACCTCCAGTAATGTTTAAGCGGAAATTTCCTTGGAAAAAAGGTGTGAGAATTGCTGCTTTATATGAAACAGAGAAGTTGTTACTATTTCTGTACCATTTATTCTTTTAAGGTATTTACAAACTGCCCTTCCAGAAACTTTCCAAGGCAGCCTGTGAATCTTTCATAAATAATTTGGTATATTTTGCTAATATTAATTCATTAGTAAATTACTGTGTCAGTGTTCATTTCATTTACCAAGGGAGTAATTCAACAAAGCGCAATGGCAACTGTTCCATCAGCACAAATATTTCAGCTTACCAGACAAGATAACCCCCTTCCCAACCGCTATGTGCTATTTAGGGGGTTCTCCCGATCCCCCAAACCAATTTTTTGGGGGACACAAAAGTGGAAAGCCCCACTGTGCTGGCAGAGGTCCTTATGTGGGCTTCTGGCAGCGGGACTCATAAGCTGACTCCTGCCCCATATCCTGAGTTAGGTATAACATGCTCATACAGTAAATACTGAGCTAGTTTCTGTGATCCTTTCCTACAGCATTGTCATTTGTTGTATTGGTTTCTGCTTTTCCCTAGTACAAAACCTAAGCATTGCCTCCCTAAGACAAATCAGCAACCTCACTCCTATCAACTTGATTAGTTTGACCTCAGCAGTTACCTTGCCCACCACATCGAGCGGAAATCTGTTCCACTTGCGCAGGAACACCACTGAACAGAACCCTACACAAATTAGATGTTACATGTATAGATAACAAATGGAACAAAAAACTAACCACCTCTACTCCTCTCCAGCTACAGGTGTTTAATGATTAAGGCTGCTGTCCTATACCCAAATACACAGAAGTCCCATTGAGAACAGTAGGACATAGAACTATGCTAAGCCAGAGCTTTCCAAACTGTGTGTTATGACATGTTAGTGTGTCGGCTGAACTGTGCAGGTGTGTCACACAAACGCTCCCTGCGTTTAACCTCAGGTTTGCTAGTAAAATTACTGGCACGAAATGCAAAACTGAGTTACTGTGTTGTGAAATGATGCATGTCCTAAGAGTGTGTCAGCAACACGAAAAGTTTGGAAAGCTCTGTGCTAAGCAGTGCAATCCTATGCCTCTTAACTTGAATTGTCGAATGGGGGCTACTCCCAAACTACCTACATGTATGCCAAAAGATGAAGTTGCAACACAACAGAACCAGAGAACGTTCCCATCTTTGAATGCCAATCAGTTCTTTAGATGTTCAATAATTATATAGAACAGAGTCAAAGAAACACTCCAGAGCAAATGATACCAAAACTGTGTTATAATCACACAGTGGCTTAAGTTCAAAGGACTTCCCAAGCAAGCTTATGCCAGAAAAAAAAATAGTTAAGCCTGATACTTCAACAATCCCACTTGTAGTGGCCACTTTTTTTTCTTCGGTCTTTGAAAGATCATCTACCACATTCACCACCAGCCCAAGGTGCCATTTTCACATGACACTAAACCCGTAACAAGGTAAGTAAGGTCAAACAAATATACAAGTTACAGCTTCAACTGGACCAGTTCAGATGACCTATTCACCAGAGAGCCAACATGTTTAGAAGATGCTTTGTATATATAGTCAAAGTAGCAGCAGCAAAGCTCTAAAAGCATCTGTATATACTTAGCGCTTCTGAGCTGTCTTAGAAATATTACTGTTGTGCTACTAACCAATCTATAAGTATTAGATATTCTGGACTGCTTGATGACCAATGATACTTTGTAGCTTGCATAAAAGCAGACAATAGAGAAAATCAGTGTAGCTATCCTTAAATGTCATGCATGCAAGTCTAAGTTCTTAATGTAAAAATGCATGTGACAAATTTAAGACATCCATTAGCCAAAGGTGAAGCTCTTCGAAGTGCATATTCTAATGTAGAAATATATTATGAACCAATGTAAGGAATGTGGTTTCAAATCTGTTTTTCTGAAATTCAAACTTTCCAGAATCAATACCGAAAAACTGCTGACAAAGCACTAAGCTGTGTGTTGCATATTGTCACAAACAGTAAATATTACATAGTAAGATACACACAAAAACTACAATGCCTTGGATCCAAACAGCTCATTGCACAAAAGGAAAGCATTTCTGTTTGTACAAGGAGATTTTCTCTAATAGCTGGCTTTCCTTCCCAGCTGCAGCTCCCTCACCTCAGCAGCTCCCATACCATAACTCTCTCATAACTCTCAGCAGTAAATTTTTGGCAGCTGCGAGGGGCTGAAGCACGAAGGAGGGATGGGAAAGTGCCACTGCACAACTGGAATGCCACTCATGTTTCTTAAAATACAAGTCATTATTACTCCTGATAATCTGAAGGTGTGATAATTAAGAGATTAACACTGGACAGTTGATTTAATTCTCCCATGGAGAGGGCACAGACAGACCACTTCATGTTAAGGGGGCTGGAAGCAGCCTACATTATTCTCCCCCATCTTGTACATACATTTCTTCAGCCAGCTGTAAACACGGTTAATGAAAGTCACATTTCAATTTTTTACCGAAGCTTTAAAAAACACGTTACAAAGAAATTGCATCTCAGCAGTCTATTACTGTGAACACAGAAGGATTTTTAGGATATTTAGCTTGAACTGATTCTTAGTTTCCTTAACTCATCATTAGATACCTGGCATGCCTGTGGCAAGACCCTGACCAAAAGCCAAAGTTGGATTTGCTGCCGCAGCTGCTGCAAGTGACTCTGCCTGCTGCCCTTGCTGACCCTGATTGGGAGTTAGAGGACGTTGACTTCCTCCAGTACGAAGAACCTACAAAAGACCAATGGCGACACTAATTGCTTAAAATGTGAAGTATAAAAAGGTAATATAGGATAAAAATGCTGGAACATGTTGTGCATACTTTGGGGTTGTGATTTTTTTAAAAACAATAACACCCCCAACAACAGTGTATAAATAAGGTAAAGTAAGCAGGCATAGACTAGTTCAATGGAAGAATTATGACACAAGAAAACACAAGTTTAAGGTGCTAGGCCTTCTGTAATTCAATAACACTGAAAAGTAGTTTAAAAATAGCAAGAAACCCAAAGTGGAGACATTTAGTAGGTTAAGTGTGGTGAGGAGGTTATCGTTTTAACAGTCTTTCTACCCACTTTCAGCCTGCAAATTTTAAATACTGAACATTTTAAAATGCAATTACTGTTAACTGTAATTATGGAGTTTAGCGATCTATTTAGAATTCAAAGCTTTGCAGACAGCACTTGCCAGCCCTAAAATGTATTTAAGGGATTGTTAGCCGACCGTGCAATGACATACTCCATTCACCAGTGCCTCTCCGCTTATGAAAATTCTTACTACCGCCTTTAACCATGGCTCCTTACTGTATTACCAGTATCAAGCATACTCAGCATGAACCAGGCTGTGCTCCTAACCTTCAATTTGAACCTTGTAGTGAGCAAGGTACAGTGGAACCTCAGTTTTTGAACTTAATCCATTGCAAAAGACCATTCCAACTTCTGAAACGTTTGAAAACCAAAGCGGAAGCCTCAATAAAATAGGGAAACTCAAAATGGAAGCCACGTGGGACGTTCAGCTTCCGAAATTCATTCAAAATCTGAAGCAGTTACTTCCAGGCTTTCGGCGTTAGAAAGCCAAAGCATTCGACTTCTGAGATGCTCGTAAACAGAGGTTCCACATTCTGGTACTGATTTTGCTATCGAAAGAACACACCCTGCAATTGCCAGTGTTTTGTTCTAAATATCCAAGTCAAATGCAAATTTCACTGGAGTGTATAACTAAGTTTTTTTTTAATTTCATTTCAAATATCCCTAATGAATTTAAATAAGGACAATTTTGCTTGTAAGCAAAGCATAGCACTAGTCTCACTATGTTGCAAGTTGAGATAATTTTACTATTATACTGTTACTGAACATATTGCAACTCATTGTCCAGAAAGTCATCCAACTCTTATCTCTGCTCACTGAAGCTTCATATGTGCTTCATGAGATATGGGATGATATGCAACTGAAGTAACCACTGAACTTAATAAACATGACTAAGTTAGGTCCATTAATTTTACTGGGTTAACTCTTAGCTTAGTAAAACTTAGCCGAATTCTGCCCCAAGAATGCTTTCAGCTAGAAATCCACTGTTGTTCAATATGGCAGCTTTGCCACAATCTGGATGGCCCTGCCAAAATAAATACTTGTCACCGTATTTTTCGCCCTATAGGACGCACCGACCCATAGGACGCACCTAGTTTTTTTTTGGGGGGGGGTCAAGTAAAAAATATGATTTCCCCCCTCCCTGCAGCTCTGGGAGCAGCTGACAGGCTGCACGCAGCCTGTGCGCTACTCCAGGACCTTCTCCCTGCTTTTGCGGGAGGTGGCGGAATTCCCCCACCTCCCGCAAAAGCCCACAGGAGCCGCCCGCGACACCTGCGGGCTTTTCGACCAGGAGGGAGAAGGGACTGAAACGGCCAGTCAGTCCCTTGTCCCTCCTTGGGGGAAAGCCCCCAAGAGCGGTGCGCTCTTTAAAGGGTGCGCGGCATCCTGCAGGCATTTCTACGAGGTAGGGGAATTCACCCACCACGTAGAAAAGCCAGCAGAAGCCGCGCACCCTTTAAAGAGCGCATGGCTTCTGGGTGCTTTTGCGGGAGGTGGGGGAATTCCCCCATCTCCCACAAAAGCCCACAGAAGGGAGAAGGGACTGACTCGGCCAGTCAGTCCCTTCTCCCTCCTTGGGGAAAAGCCCCCAAGAGCGGCGCGCTCTTTAAAGGCTGTGCGGCTCCTGCGGGCTTTTCGACCCAGCTTGTGGGGCTGGAGATGGGGGAAAGCGTTGCTTTCCCCCACCGCCAGCCTCCAAAGTAGGTCGGAGAGTAGTGCCAAGGCGGCGCGCACCTTCCCGCTGCCCCCCATCCTCTGGGGCTGGCGATGGGGGGAAGCGTTGCTTTCCCCCATCATCAGCCTCAAAGAGCAGACTCTCCTGGCTTCGTGTTGCTATCGCTGAAGCCAAGGAGCCTGCATTCGCCCCATAGGACGCATACACTTTCCCCCTTCATTTTTGGAGGGGGAAAAGTGCGTCCTATAGGGCGAAAAATACGGTATGTTGTGTTCTGAAGTTCCTAAACATGGTGCCCCTTCTCAAGGCATACATGGCTGGCTTAACAAAGCCTTTCTCAACCTGTGGGTCTCCAGATGTTGTTGAACTACAACTCCCATCACCCCTAGCTAGCAAGGCCAGAGCTCAGGGATGATGGGAGTTGTAGTCCAACAACATCTGGGGACCCAGAAGTTGAGAACTGCTGGTTTAACAGATTCTTTTTAGCGTAGTGGCTCTTGCAACTACTCCATATCACACCTTTCTTGTTACCCGAGGAACCAGGCAACACTGTATATTACTCAAAACTAGGAGACAAGCTAGACTCCATGCCACCTTGTAAAGATAGGCCTGTTTTCATGTTCCAGCCACCCCAATTGCACCTAGCAACTGCATACTCTGGGAATGTAGCTTTTAAACAGAGAAAGGAAATGGTCTTTCCCCTATGCGGCTTGTGGGTGGAGGAGTGTATTTCTTCACAGGAAATTAATAGTGGCGGCCATCTTGGGTTCCAGATGTGCCTCCCTCTAGGGAACCCAAGCTTTGTCCTCAGGATTCCTTGAAGATGTCACCTAGGATGTCTTCATTGCATTACGCCACTGCATTGCTGACACAGACTGCTTTGTGGTCCTTGCTAAGTGGAGAAGCGAGAGTTGCAGTGGCAGAGCACATACAGTTTCTGGTCCACACAGGACATGAAAAAGAGGTGGTGGTACTCAGCTGTCCTGAGGGCAATGCTCCTCAACTACATTTACTTCCGACATATGTGGGTAGAGGCAAAGTGGGGATGGGGTCAACAGGAGGAGGCTTTTCCCTTCAGAGCCAGCACTAATGTTTTAAGCAGGTGGAAGGTTTCAGTAGGAGACATCCTGACAGCTTGTTTCATACTGGCCTCTCTGTTCCCTTCTCAGTTTGGGCTTTGCTGATTTGTTGCTGTTATTTTGGCAGGCAAACTCGCAACACTTAACTCAGCTGAAGCCTGCCTAACCCCAATAACAAAGTCAACTAAAAAGCAAAAGGAGAGGCCTGTCTTTCTAGTTATAAACTTTAAACTGACCTTTGTAGTTCAGAAGGCAAACTAAAATTTTAACCTGAATAGAGGCTTTCCCCCATCTCTGAGGGATGAGCTGCCCTCATCCCTCAGAGAACTGATATCTGCTGATTTGATAATGAAATACACTGACAACATTAAGCTTATGGACTGAATAGACTGCTGTCCAGCATGGCAAACACAAACTGTGCACTGTTAGATATACCATTATTTTTTTATTCAACAATACGCATTGCATTCAATAAAACTGCATAAGCAGACAGATATATTAATTCCTCAGGTGTGTCCACCCAGCTTACCTGTTGCTGGCCTTGTTGTGCCTGTGACGCAGCCTGTTGATTGGCTGTGTTGTTTGCTGCAGCTGCTGCTTGCTGCTGAAACAAGTTGGCTGGATACACTCCCCAAGGAACTCCGTAATACTGAGGAGGGACCACTGCTGGCCCTAACAAAACAAAACAAATGGCTTTACACGCAAATATTTACAGTCTCTCCTCAAAAGCCTCGAGATCAGTGCTAAGTCGGTTGTGTGAAAACCACATGTATAAACAAACCCAGTATCCTATGCCAAAAAGGGAATCTCTGCACACATACCTGAAAGCAGAACTCCTCCCTCCCTCCCTGTAAATATTCCAAGAGGACCATTCTCACCCTCTGATCAGAAGAGGGAGGAAAAGAATTACCTTCCCGCAGAGAAATAAGAAAGCACAGCAAAGAGACAAATAAGAAGGGGTATACAATGGTACCTCGGGTTAAGTACTTAATTCGTTCCGGAGGTCTGTACTTAACCGGAAACTGTTCTTAACCTGAAGCACCACTTTAGCTAATGGGGCCTCCTGCTGCTGCCGCGCCGCTGGAGCACGATTTCTGTTCTCATCCTGAAGCAAAGTTCCTAACCCGAGGTACTATTTCTGGGTTAGCAGAGTCTGTAACCTGAAGCGTATGTAACCTGAAGTACCACTGTACCAATAGTGGAAGAGCTACCATTTAGCTAACACCTTTCTTCCTACATATAAAAAACAACCTACACCATTTAATATATTGGAAATAATCCTCTTCTGCACAGGGGCAGGAGCCCTAAAGAGCCATCCCTGTAAGAACTAATGAACATGCTACTTCACTCATCTTCAGTACAGTGGTACCTCCGGTTGTGGACGGGATCTGTTACAGAGCTCTGATCAGATCCAGGTTTCCGCGACCAGAGGGAGAGCTTCTGCGTATGCACGCAGCGTGGTAGAATGTTTCTGAGGATGTGTGCGCAGCGAAACACTTCTGGGGTTGCCGCTTTCGCAATCCAAAGTTTACATTACCCGAGGGTAACGTAAGCCAAGGTGCTACTGTATATCTGAATTGGAAGTGCAACACAGAACCCCAACAATTCAGAGATCTTCTCCTCTCAGAGTTACACAAGCTCCAGAACTCATGTAACATGAGTGAGGAAAGGGGGGAAACTGCATGTGGTATATAGGAGACATGCAAAGACCGTTAACAGGAACAACCTGTGGTCCAAAGATAGTGGTAGTGTACAAACAGAGCTCTACTAAATTCCACAGAACCTCTCCTATCATTTATGATTATCAGCACAATTTTTAAAAAAATCACTCCTAAACAAGAGCATTTTAAAAATGTTCTCACATGCTCTCTCACGGCTGTGGTACTATGAAAATTAGCTATTTTATATATCTTCTAAACTGTTTGGATCATGCATGAATGGACTCAAAGTGCTAAGAAGTAGAATCAGCCTTGCAATCTGCCACAATGCCTTATTCGCGCCCAGGGTGAACAGCATGCCAATTCCCCCAGGCAGCAAAACCATGCCTTAAGGTAGCTATTTAAGTCTCTAAGAAGGGAAAGATTTGCACATCCATGAGAATATCACAGACTGTTGCCATCACAATTTGCCATCTCCTCATCCTTTAAGGGCTACTAGCTATTCAAGCCAGAATAAAGAGCTATTCAGAGCCAAATGTATAGTACACAGTGGTACCTTGGTTCTCAAACTGAATCCGTTCCAGGAGTCTGTTCAACTCCCAAAACCGTTCGAAAACCAAGGCGTGGCTGCAAGAGCTTCCTGCGTTCAATTGGAAGCCATGGCGGACGTTTGGCTTCTGAAAAATGCTCACAAACCAGAACACTTACTTCCGTGTTTGCAGCATTCAGGAGCCAATTTGTTTGACAACTAAGCCGTTTGAGAACCAAGGCACCACTATATATCTACTCCCACTTCTCTCAGACTCCCAATTCCTCTGCTCCTCTTCACTCAGCTGCAAAAATACCAAGCTGAACATAGGAATTAATACCCTATACTTCTCTTCAATCTGAAAGACCCACTGGTGACAAGGTGAACTCAAGAGGGATGCATGACCACCCTTGGTTATTAGTTAAAAGGCTGTAGACCATAAGAAAGGCAATTTCCTTAAAAATGTTTCAGTAAATAGACATTTGAATCCCTAGTGTGTGACAACCCCTCCAGGTAAAGTAGGAATAATTCTTGATCCAACATCTTTGTTCCTCACATTTAACATGAAAACCAAGTCTCGGGCAACAGGAGCAAATGGGAAAAGAGTACTGTGATGTTATCTCTAAACTAGTTCTCAGTCGTACCTCGGAAGTCAAACGGAATCCGTTCCGGAAGTCTGTTCGACTTCCGAAACGTTTGAAAACCAAAGCACGGCTTCTGACTGGCTGCAGAAAGCTCCTGCAGCCAATCGGAAGCCACGGAAGCCCAGTCGGATGTTCAGCTTCCAAAAGAACGTTCAAAAATTGGAACGACTCCAAAGGTGTTCAGGAGCCGAGGTATGACTGAATTTCAACCTTCATGTGCGTTTTTGATGGGTTTATGCCCAAACACTAAAGTTTTCAAATTTCTTGAGAAAAAGAGATTGTTGTAATTAACTTGAGCGATGGTAGTTTCTTACCTGCTAATGTAGCTGCTGCAGCTAAGCCTGCTGCTGTGTATGGGTCAGCACCCGGTGGAGCAGCACTGATAATGTATGGGTTTGGCACAAAAGCAGCTGGAGCCAAGCCTGCCGAAAATACACCTGTTACAGTAACAAAAAGTTCAATTTCACCAAAAACAAGACACCAGACAGACACAGACACACCCCATTACATCATTCAAATTGTAAATGCATTAGCTTTAGAAATTTATGTCACCTGTTCTTGAAGAGGCTTCAAAAGGTAATTAAGACTAAAGTATCTCTCACTTCTCTCATTAACTGTCAGGTTCATGCTCTACTTTAAGAAACGTTCATACCGTAGTCCCAAGTTACTGCTGCCATTTCTATAAAACTAAATTTATAAAACCAAATACATTTTAAAAATGTATCACACTGCCAGAACAGCAGCTTTTTAAATTATTATTACTATACCTTTAGAACTTCACTTTTAAGCAATGAAAATTCCAAGTTTGTCAAAAAGTCTGCCCAAATTAGCAAGCTTTTAATTAAAAGAAAAGCAGCAATCATACACTGCCACTTTTTTAAGCTTGAAATTTAAGTAAATAAACTTGGGAAAATGTCTCACCTATGTGTGGTTGCTGTGCCGCTGCCAATGCGTATTGTTGCTGCTGAGCTGCTGTTAACTGCTGGACAGTGAGAGGGTTAGTCCTCTGAAAAAGCTAAGAACAACAATTTAAACCTTTTAATTTTAGCAACAATCCCACATCAGAATTTAAAAACCAACTGTGTGTAGATGCATTCACAGGACTGTCCAAGATCCGTAGCACTATGCATGAAGTTTAAATTCAGGTGTAATTCATTCTTAAGCAATATCACGGCAGAATTACACATTATAATAAGGATGGGACTAAAGTAAAAAATAAAAAATAAAAATGGCAGCTCTGTGTTGCAAGCTTCTGATCTGTTAACATGCAGTCAAATATAGCCATATCCTAAGGTTATCACATTTTTAGCTTCCCTACCAGTCAATGATGCAGAACTGATGTTGGGAACTAACCATGACTCCAGGACATAGGTAAGAACGTGGGAATAAATCTCTACGAAGCTGCAATTTTCAGTGGCAGCCTGTGATTGCCAAAATGTTGTAGTTCCACTTTTTAATGTGGCTGTATAAAAACACTAACCTGCTGCTGTGAATTGTAATCAAAGAGTCCCACAGTAGCTCCTGAAGAGTCCATTTGTACCTGATTTCCAGGATAATCAAACTGCAGAGAATCAAGACCCACTTGTTCCATAGCATCCAAATTCTGAGATTCAGAGTTAGAAAATTCTTCCACCAGTGGCTTGTGGGTTGCAGGATTAGGAAGGGAAGCCAATCCTTCAGCAGCGCTTGGGTTCGGCCCCAGACGCTCAGTTACTTCAGTTGGGGAGGCTTGCCGACTTCCAGGAGTACGACTGCTTAGGAAAAGAATGCAAAATAGATGTCAGCTTCATTGCTTAAACAACAGCATTTGTGAAAATGCTTCTTTAATTAGTATCAGCTGTAGTTGCCTGATCTAGGGAAAACAGCATACAGCTGTGCTGAATGGCGTTAACAGAACAGTTTGAAATGCTGGGATTGTGTTTGGAAACTAAAAGAATTAGTCTCTATAACAGCAAGCTCAGGTGGTTAACTACAGAAACAGCCCAATGAGGACTGATGGCCTTCAGGAGCCAGAGAGTGTTAAAAGTCAACCAGAAAAGAAAGCTGGGAATAGGAGAGAAAGAGTGAATTGAGCCCGTATTGTAGCACTCCTGTCAGAAAGGATACTCTGCAACATTTTGTTGCAGGATGCTCTTGTCACTAACTGTAGCTGAAGTGAATGGACAAATCTTGTGGACAGAACAGTGTGGTCTAATGGGGGGGGGGGGGACACCATTTAACAAGTGCGGATGGTAGAGAGAATGTAGAGAGGGAGATTAAGAAGAGCTATTCTATCAGCTCTGCTGAAAAGTCAACTCCACCCTATTTTTCTTGCTCTTCAACTGTCATCCAGCAACAACCACTCCACCAGACTGAAGTATATATATAGACTGTAATAAAGGCCTCTTCATCTGTTCACCTGGAAGACCACTGGCAGCCCTGTTTAGGGAAGTTTATTATTCTAGTTGTCATCAGCCACCCACCCAAAAGAGCTTCCTGCATAGCCCCTTCTTGCCCTTTTCAACATACAGAGGCCAAGAAGACCCTGGCAAAAGCTGTCCCTACTCCAATAGGTGTCTAGCTTAAAGGAACAGAACTCAAACCTCCTCTATGTCGCTCCAGATGTGCCTAAACCTCTTACTCATTTCCCCACTGGAGATCAAGAATGTGCTCACCTTGGAGCTAGGGTTCTTTTAGATCCTTACATTGCCCCAGATACAGTGGTACCCCGCAAGACGAACGCCTCGCAAGACGGAAAACCCGCTAGACGAAAGGGTTTTCCGTTTTGGAGGCGCTCGCAAAGCAGGACTTCCCTATGGGCTTGCCGCAAGACGACAGCCCATAGGGAACTCTCAGGGACCGCGGGGAAGCGCCGCGCGTCTTCCCCACTGTCCGCGTCCCCCCCCCGATGCCTGGCGGCGGGGCGGGGACACCTCCTCCCGCCGCCGCCGGGCTTCGGAAGGCTCCTCCGGGCCGGGCGGCGGAGGGAACACCTGCCGCCGCCGCCCGGCTCGGAGCACCGTGCCCGAGCCGGGCGGCGGGGAGGGAGCACCTGCCGCCGCCGCCCGGCTCGGGCACGTGCTCCGAGCCGGGCGGCGGGAGGAGGTCCTCCCCGCCGCCCGGCCCGGTGCTCCGAGCCGGGCGGTGGGGAGGAGCCTCCTCCGGGCCGGGCGGCGGAGGGAGACCTCCCCGCCGCCCGGCTCGGAGCACGGTGCTCCGAGCCGGGCGGTGGGGAGGGATGACCTCCCCGCCGCCCGGCTCGGGCACGTGCTCCGAGCCGGGCGGCGGCGGAGGATGACCTCCCCGCCGCCCGGCTCGGGACGGTGCTCCGAGCCGGGCGGCGGGAGGAGATGCCTCCCGCCGCCGCCCGGCTTCGGACGGTGCTCCGAGCCGGGCGGGGGAGGGAAGACCTTCTGAAGGCGGGCGGGGCGAAAGTCTTTGCTCCCCTGCCTGCCTGTCCCGGAGGGCTTTTGAAGGCGGGGAACAGAGACTTCGCCTCGCCCGCCTTCAGAAGAGGTCCAGGACCTCTTCTGAAGGCTGGCGGGGGCAAAGTCTTTGTCCCCTGCCTGCCTTCCCAGGGGCTTTAGATTGCCCTGGACAGCGGAGAAGTCCTCCGCTGTCCCGAGGTGATCTTCAAATGCCGCCCGCCAGCACTTTAAGATCGCCTGGACAGCGGAGTAGTCCTCCAGCTGTCCCAGGCTTCTCAAAATGCTGGGGTGGGCAGCATAGCCCTCTTGCCCTCTCAGCCTACAGAGGCCAAGAGGTCCTGGCGACAGACTGTCCCTGACCTGGTCTGATAGGTGTCTAGCTTAAGGAACAGAACTCAAATCTCCTCAATGTCACTCCAGATGTGCGAAACCGTGCTTACTCAAGTCCAACACTCGCAAGATCAAGAATGTGCTCACCTTGGAGCTAGGGTTCTTTTAGATCCTTACATTGCCCCAGATATATTGCAAAGTTTTTGACACTGCTGGTAAAGCTGCCTCACCCGCCTAGAAATTTCCTTCAGCCAGTGCACACACATCAGAAGGCAACTGAGGCTCTTGGGATATGGTAAAGAATCCTGTCAATTACATATGAGTGAAGATCTAAGCACATCAAATGCGTGAAGAGGGGGAAAGAGAGGCAGGCCAGCGGCAAGAATGATCCTGGCTGGGGAGCATTAAATAGATAGATCTGGACAGTCAACTTGTGTGCACAAACCAAAGCAAAGCAGAACAGGGGACCAGTCAAGCATATGCCACAGAGTAGACATGCTGGTGGGGCCCACGTAGAAGGATAGTTGAACAGGGAGCAGCCAAAATCATACCCACAAACTTCTAATACGGTAGTCAAACAAGCCAAAGTGAAATATGGAGACAGACTCTCCTATGTCCCCCAGCCATTTATTTGGATCGGCAAGCATCTATGATGGCTTTAAAACAACCTTAGAACAGCAAAGCCTTTCGACTTGTTTTATAGCCGACACAAATAGAACTTTAAACTATTTAAAGATGACCTGTCTATTTAAGGTGAATTTAGAGAGAGAGAGAGAGCATGCAAGAGGCTGAGTATTATGCAAAATAGGAAGGTAGGACATGAATCATTAATACTAAAATGAAAAAGAGGTAAAACCTACTGAACTCAGAATTTTTATTTCTTTAAAAATATACTTTGTATCTTTAGAAAAATGTAAATGCCTACTTAAAATCTTTGCAGTCAGCATCCATTCCATTTGGCAAACCTCTGCCATTTATTTTAGTAACATCATCATCATCATCTCCTTGTTTAAGATCTCTGTTTTTGTCCTCCTCAAATGGAGAAGCCTTGCCTTTCTGGTCTCCTTTCTCAGGTCCATCTGTTTCAGCTTCTCTAGTGCCCTGAAGAAAAGAATGTTTGATTCTGAATTTGACAAAATGCAAGAGCACCACCACAAAACAATCTAATTCTATGTTACACTGCACAATGAATCATATAACACTCAGTAATATACCTTGATTGAGGAAGTTTCAGTCTAATACAAAACAAGCTGATGCATGAAAGCAAACTGCTAGGATAAACAGAAGGAACCGCTGGGCTTACCTGCAAAAGGTATTTTCCTTTGAATGAATTTTTTTTAAATCTCAGGTGGGATGTGAGCTCCCTCTAGCATCTGAGGACAGGATTACAGTTGAATCAGAGTTTTGCTCCCAATTGGCTAGGCCCCACAAGTTTACACAACTGTCCAAGTTGCATCCACCCAACATAAAAACAAGTAACACCAAAAAGAAACAAACTATTTTTCTCTGGTTGTATTAGGAAATATTTTCAACTATTTCCTAATGATCCCTGGTGTGGAAATTGCCTCTTTCAAGCTGCCACATAATGGATCAACTCTTTCATCAAGCTATCCACACATTCCTGGTCAGTTACTGCCAGTCTAGAGTCCAGACCCCATGAGTGTATAGGTGAGATTCTTTGCTCTGGCAAAATGTTCTATTCAGCTGCAATCCTACCTCCAAGCATTAGAGGAAGCTCAAATCCAACCTGAGAGCATCTTCACTCAAAGGAAAAAGTCCAACTTTTGCTAAAGCTGTGTATCCCTTTTCATCTGTGGAAGAGCTGGTGATCTAAGAGAATCCCGTACACACAGAGGCAAGGAATTTTTTGCTGATTCACCTTCTGCCTTCTCCCACCTGTAGCCTCCTCCCACAAGGTTCAATAAGGTCTTCTGCCAACCTTTCAAAACTGATTTGGGAGAGGGGGACAAGCAGGAGAAAATTGGTAAAAATCAAATCCCCTCATGGAATCTCTGTATCTAACCCACTGTCATGAAGCTGTAGGATGTAACTTATTTTCATACCTATTATTTTTTCATTACTGACTGTTCTCCGTAAATATGAAAGTGTTAAATAAAATACAACTTTCAGCTGAATACTAATAAAAATGTCAAATAGTTTATACCCTGATGAACACATAGAATCTTAGAGTTGGAAAGGACCCAAGAGTTCATCTAGTCCAACCCCCTACAATGCAGGAATCTCAGATAAACATCCATAACAGATGGCCATCCAACCTCTGCTTAAAAACCTCCAAGGAAGGAGAGTCCACCACCTCCCAAGGGAGTCTGTTCCACATGTGTAAAGTGTCCTATATGGAGTTTCTAAACACAGCTATTATTTGGAAGTAAAGATTTCAATGAAACTGAGTTTCATACAAGCAGAGACTCATGCAGTTATGCATACACAATTCTTGTCTACATATATGCTCAAATGCCCTACAGGAAATAATCATGTTAACACAAAACACTGCTTCCCACAGGTCAGAATGGGAACCAAAGTTTGCTAGTCCAACTCTTATTAACACTGATTTGGAACCAGTGAAGTCTAATGGGGGATCCAGCTTAGGATGGTCTAATATTTTGTTGACGTAACCAAGTTACTTACAAAAGCTCCTTTTCTAAATCGGGAGTCCAATTTATCCGCTGGAGAAGAACTTAACACATATTCTACCATGCTCACGCCAAGGCCACCACTCTCTGATCGAGGAGATAAGACAGCATTCACTTCACTGTTTCCATGAAAAACATGTCCAGGCTTTCTCTGAACCATAATAGGCTGAGACATAGAGTGGTCTGTTTAAAAAAACAAAAACTGAAATGTAACTTGCATGAATATATATATAGTTTTTAAATACTTAAGTTAATGACACTTTGTTCAGTGAGCTTGTTTAGATCACTAAAGCATAATGAGTGTGATTCCTTCCCCCAGTAATTCCTTTCCCAAGTGATTTCTGACCATAAGTTCCTTAAATGCACATCACTTACGAGGTGCTCCCCAGGCAGCTTCTCTCCATTCATCACCAAGGAATATGCCTTTTTGTCCATCCTTTGCTGGATCATCTGGTTCCCAAAATTTTTTGGCAGGTAGCAGCTATTTAAAAAGGATATACCACAGTTAAAACTGGTTAGTTTTCAGTTTATTTGTAAACTGGTGCTGACACAAAGCTGCGGAACAGGCATGCTAAACAGGAGGTGTTTAGGAGAGTGAAGCAGTGGTATAGCCCATTATAAATGAACCTTGCTAAATTTAGTACTAGCATACATTAGTACATAAAACTTTAGAAAAAGGATGGGAAACCTGTGGCCCTCCAGATGTAGTTCAGCTACAACTCCCATTATCTCTGACCTAGTGGCCTAGTCTGATGAGAGTCAAACAGGGTCATAGATTCCCGCTTTACATAGTTTGTAATTAAGACTTCAACCCTATCTTCAGGTACCTGATTTAATAACATCTAAATTAAACAGGACAAAATGCACATAACTGTGCACAGAACTGCCACATTACAGGTTGGTTCCTTACCTATCCAAACTGAAATACATTTTAATGAAAATCAAACCAGAAACATGTCTAATAGGTATTACACTTCAGCACCAGTATACATGCCTGATACCTGCTACTTTAGGGCCATGGAGAATGTAACACCTATAAAAAGTTCCAAAAAAATAAAGATGCACTGGTCCCTTCAGCCAAGGCTGCTTCCGAAGGATCATTTTCCATTCAGACATAAAACTTGTTTGTGCAAAGTGATCTATGCTACTCTTTGTCAGGTGCAATTCTTATAAAAATCTTGCTACTCTCAGTCTTAAAAACTGTTATACACAAATGGCTGCAATTCTCAGCATTCACTCATTAAAAGTATGTAAACTGATTTGGCTTTCAGGCAACATTTGAAATTCAGTTAGCATCTTTTTCTATATAGACCTGGGGTTTCCAAGTAACTAATTCAAAAAGGGTGGGGTGGGATGAGATGATTTGATCACCCTGGATGAATCTAAACTGCTAGCACTCAACATGCAGCCCTTTCCAAGCAAGTCTCTAAAATCAAAAGTTAGAGATTTGGGGCAGCAGTAAACTAATGAGTCATGTCAGCAGAAACTGCGACAGGACGTTTGCACAATAGGGTTTTCTCTCCTCCTTCCCCAAACGTGGCTGGGCGGAGGGCATGTCAAAACAATCACTTTAGCACAACACTGAATTTCTCCCACTGAGCTTTATTTAGCATTATCATTCTGTATAGACATGAGGTTTCCAAGTTACTAATTCTAAATCCAGGAAAATATGTCAGCTATTTCAATACATTAAAATGTTCCGGTTTAAAGAAAAAATACTTGCTGGAACCCTGTGCATGTGTCCAACTGAAACAGATGCCATTCTCCTTAATATAAGCGATGTTTGCTTTCTCTGAGTGCTTGCCAATATTAACAGTGCCTCATTTAAAACTGATATACCTCTACCCAATAATTTTCACATAAGCATTCCAATGAACTGAGGAAGAGCTCTAGGTTCATTTAAAAGTGTAGAACAGGAAGCAAAAGGTGAGGATATTAGTGTACTTTAGTACTTCACCTTTGCCACAAGCACCAGAATATTTGGAGACATGGTACTATGATTTCGGACCTTGAAAACTGTGGCTTGAAGAACTCGAGCTACTGATAGCTTTGAACACTAGCTTGACACACAGAATCAATCCTTCATCAGATGATGAGTTTTCTAGAAAAACTCAGTCTTGCCAACACATTCTCTCCCACAATGTATGTGCTATTTGTGTTAAGGCTTTCGTGCCGAAAGTACAATGCAAGACTCAAAGTGTACTTGCATAAAAGGTGACTTGAAAATTCCTCCAACAACAGAAGATACATATCCTAAATTGTGGTTCTTTTAAGTGGTGCCAAGTTTAACAGAGCGGTGATTTATAAATTCTTGCGACAATCCATTCTATACATTTCAATTAAAGTTATTTACCTCTCCCATTCCCCGAGATTCTAGTGCAAGAGCTTGAAACTCATGATTCATTTCATCCACAGAGCGAACCTGGAGAAAATAAAAATAAAAATTAGATTTCACTTGAAAGCTATGTGTTATATTTTTAAAATTTAGAAGTAGCTTCCAAATTGTTATGCCCCTGTTCACTATGCCCCTTTTTTTATTAATTGAACTTCCTTGGTTGAAGAGCAACAGACAATTCTCTTGAATATTCACTTGGTGAATGAAAAGAACTATGAAAAATATTTGAAAGTACATTATTTAGTCACCATGATCGGCTGCTGTAATACCCAAATAAGTAAAACTGATGCGATAAACTTCCTAAGTAATTTATTTCAAGTTACTAAGCACTCTTAAAAAGGAAAAGCTTACAAGAACAAATAAGAAAGATGAACCTTACAACAATAAGAAATGCCTTGATAAAAACAAAAAGCACCGAAAACATGATTTATCATCTCTCCTACAACCCAAGCATACCTCGAATATATTAACTAATATAAATCATCATAGTACATTTTAAATCCCTTGTTTGCATCCATTTGTATCCTTCTACAACCAAAAGCAGCCATTCAATTTTCAGAAGAGTCTTTGAAACCATACCTAGCTTTGCAAATATGCTAGCAGTTTTACTACTGCACCACTGGAGTGCAAAAGGAGGGGCAGCAAATTTGCCTGTCCTATTTCCAGCAGCCTTTCTCAACCTGTGGGTCCCCAGATGTTGTTGAACTACAACTCCCATCACCCCTAGCTAGCAAGGCCAGAGCTCAGGGATGATGGGAGTTGTAGTCCAACAACATCTGGGGACCCACAGGTTGAGAACCGCTGCTTACAGCCTTCCCCAATCCCCAGTACAACCTTCCAGGCTGTTCTGAACAGTTCTCCCAACACTCTGACACCCTGGAGCAGATTTTCAGAGGGAAAGTAGGGAAAGCTGCTGTAAATTGCCTCCTTCCTATTCCATTAGTACAGGCGTCCACTGGATCAAAAGCTCTTCCACTAACCAAACAGCACAACTGGATTCAACTTACTGGCTATCTCTGTGACATTCAAATGTTAAGGAACATCAGTGAGCAGATATGTATTTTTTAAAAAGCAAGGACCCAAGACTCAACGCTCTGCTGATTACGTAAATTTACTACTGGGTTTAAATGTTACACAAATCAAATCAATGTTTTATAATCAAATTGTTGCATCATTAGTTTATTTTCAAAACACCAAATTAAATTCAGAGTTAACAGTAATCAACAACAACAACAAAATAAGACTATAACCTGAATGCCTACAATTGCCTGTATAATGAAAATTAAAACCTGAATACATTGATTCTCATTAACAAGCATTTTAGTAAAGTAGTCATCTTCTATTCTATCATTATAGCAAACCTGCTGCCCAGTCATGCAAAAAATACTGGTTATTGTTGCTGTTGCTATTATAACACAACATAGAGTTAATGTCATCATTTTGAACTTTGAGCTCCAGGTGAAAATGCTGAAATATTCAAGGTGCAAAATGAGACAGTGCCCCCACTACTAGCTTGGAGAACAATGGGCACAGAGAAAAATCTGAAGGAGATGTGGGCTCTATTGTCCATTTCCAGAGCAGCAACTCAACCTCTTGAGATAAGGAACTGGATCTCTAGTTGATGTCTCTGGTTGAGCCCCAAAATATGGTGAAGAAGGATACTGATTTATATTGCTCGACCGGCAAACACCAAGACATGTAAGGGATTTGCTACAATGATGAAGGAATCAGAACTGAGCTAAAGAAAGGAAAGCATGTGTTCAAAGGACAACCCTATATGAGGTGCAAGAGAACAGATCATAAAGTTAGCTTCTGCAACAAAGAAGCTGGAAGGAGGATGACATGACACAAGTAACATTAGGAGAAGTCTTAAAAAGATAATCAACACAGAGTGCTGCCTTTTCTCTTCATAAAGAGCAAATCTGAACTGCTAAGATCCACTAGCTGTTTGATCTACCCATCTCTGAACAAGTGCAGGTTGCTGGTTGTGGTTTGTTGATGAATACCATAACACCCTGTTTGCAAGGCATTGAAAGCACCCTTTTCAATATTTACAATTGGAAAATGTAATTTACACGTTGACCTAACACAAGCTGCACAGCAGTATGCTCTTGTTCAACGTTCCAGGCAGCCAGCCATGCCTTCCCCGAGATACTCCATTCCACTCTCCCTCCTCCATTGTTTTCCCCTTCTCAGGCAGAAAGATTTAGCATTCTGTGCCAGCCATGCATGCTCCATCCCGCTGTGTTAAGGCTTTCTGTACTTCTGCAAAGTTCAGAGTTCGCCCGAGCATGCCAATACCTCTCTTAGTCACTACTGGTGCTGTCTTGGCTACATAGGCAACATAACTTGATGAATGAGTTCGCTATTAGTATACAGAAACAGGGTTACATACAAAAATATTGCAGTGCAACTGCTGTAACCCACCTCATGGTCAAGCGTGGATATCTAATCATCATCATCATCTACTGGAAGAAACAATTACAGCACCCTAGTTTGTAACTAAGTAACTTTACTCTAATGAGGAACATAATCCCAACTTTCTAGCTGTGCAACCCACATGGTTTCCCTAGAGTTTGCATAGGCTTAGACACTTGGGAGCAAATTTTGAGATTCAGGATTACTGTTTAGACCCATGCATGGACACTTCATTTGAAGACTTTACAGAAGCACTGGCTATATTACTGGGCAGAATTTTTGATGATTTTATTTTTTTTACTTGTGAAGCATGGTCAACACTGTCCATGCATTCTAATTTTTACTTGATGATGTGTCATTAACACAACTTTCAAAATCAGATTTTTGATCCTAGTTTTACATAAAAGCATGTTTTAACATAGGGGTTAGACAGAGGTTCATAATTTGCTTTATGGGTGACAGCCAACATTATTCACCCTCACAAAAGACCCCCTTAAATCACAAAACTAATGTTGACTTATCACTCGACGTCTACTGTATCCAAGACAGACATGAACACTGAAAACTAGGATATGTTATTAACGTAAGGCAATATTAAATAGGGAATGTGTAAGAAGTGATTAAAACGGAGGATTCTCAGAGGAGCTGAGGGAAGTCCAAAAAAGTCTGAATTGGTGATAAAGTGGATGTTTATTTTTTATAATTTTGCCTTGTAAAAATTAATAAAAATATTTTTTTTTAAAAAAAGACATGAACGCTGAAAACTAACTACAGTGGTACCTTGGTTTGCAACCGCTTTGGATTACAACTGTTTTGGATTACAGCCACGTCAAACCCGGAAGTGTGTGTCCCTTTTTTTGGATTACAACCCATTTTTTTATTATTACAGTGGTACCTCGGGTTAAGTACTTAATTCGTTCCAGAGGTCCGTTCTTAACCTGAAACTGTTCTTAACCTGAAGAACCACTTTAGCTAATGGGGCCTCCCACTGCTGCCGCGCTGCACCGCCGGAGCATGTTTTCTGTTCTTAACCGGAGGTACTCTTTCTGGGTTAGCGGAGTCTGTAACCTGAAGTGAATGTAACCTGAGGTACCACTGTACAACCAGTTGTTTTTTGCGGGGGAGGCCCCATTGGCGAAAGCACGCCTTAGGTTACAACCTGCTTTGGTTTACTAAATGGATTATGGATGTAAACCAAGGTACCACTGTACAATGCTAGGACCTAGCCCAATAAAAAAAATTAAGAGCACTAAACAGATCCATGCAAGAAAGTAAGTTTTACCCCAGACTACAATACCTTTATGTAGTAAAAACAACAAATGAATATTAAAAATAATGAACTTTTCTTAACTTTGTTAGGAAAAATCAGAGCAAGACAGAACCTTTTAAAACCAAGGATTCTTAGAAAGACTGCATTCCAAAGGTATGTATCAGTATGCAGAAAAAAATTCTTTGACAAGTCAATTATTTCCCTCTTTGTCTTCTCTTGAAACACTAAATTCAGAATCAACTTTGTGTCCTTGGTTACCATGTCATGTTCCAGAAAGCATGGTGCCTTTTGCACTCTCTTTATTCTAAGTATTTCCAGCACTCTGCAAGATACAAACAATTTGCATACCAAAGGAAAAGCCAAAAGCATGTTACAGTAATGAGAATAAATAGGAAGTGTGATCTGCAGGACTACAGAACAGTAATTCATTCTATCTTCTAAGTTTACTTAAGTAACCAGAGAGCTGGTGAGGAACCTTAGAGCCAAGGCTGGAATGTGTCCCCTCTACTTGACCCTTGGAGATCTCCCCAGGAAACCTCACCAGTTCCACTTCACACCAAACATTTCTGCCTAGCTGGAATGTGTCCTTGAACTCCAATACTGCCTTTTGCTTCTCTGGATGGAGGACAGAGCAGTGTCTGAAGCATCTTGCCTCCTGTGCAAGGGCAAATGTACATTTATTGCTCTACATACTTTTGCCTCAAGACATGCCCACCACTGAAAAATGGCCCTCGGAAGTTTGTCTAGAAGGGAATGTGATCCTAGAAAACATTCCATTCTGATCTCTATAAAGCTCTTCATAGGAAATAATTTATATAAGTTGTCCTATCCGGAAGTATAGTTGTTCATGCGGTCATAGATGTTTCTGCAGGAACCACACAATTACAATGGAAAAAACAATTTCCTCTACAGCAAGAAAGTTGAAGATGAGTACCCCTGAGTTATCCAGCCAGTACAGACCTATCAGGTATTAGCAAAGAAACTCTTTTAGGAGTTTAATCCTGAATTTAAAGAAAACATTATTCACATCTTGAGTAGGTAAACTCAAAGCAGCAGCAGCAAGCTGTGCTTGAACTGTTCCAGAGACTAAAGGAATCTTTCTAAAATGCCAACTACAATAAACATGGCATGCTGAAACAAAGTACGAGAAAGGGTGGCATTCAACTAAGTTTTATGCAGGTACAGCCACTGAATTTAATGAACATGACTAAAGGTAAATCCAGAGTTCAGTGTACAGATCATGTGGCTGTAGTCTACATGTTTTCGCTGTACCACAGGGGTGGTGGGCCTGGGGCTCTCCAGACTACATTTCCAACAGCCTCAGTCAGTATAGTCAATGGTCAGGGATGACAGAAGTAGGCCCAACAATATGTGGAGGGTTCCCTACCCCTGCTGTACACATAGAACTCTAAATAAAAACGTCAGTCCAACTTACAGACATCAGGGTAGGCAGATGCAACCCCAGATGTGGCATCGCGAGTCTCCAAGGCATTAGAAAAATAACATTCAACAGGATGCAAGATTGTGTACAATAAGCTTATAATGTAGGTGTTATTACTGAGATTCAGTGAATCAGCAACAGTTAGCCATGGCTAAGTATCATGCAATGGAAATTAATCATGATCAATTTATTCTGTACTGAATGTAGGATATAAGTGTAACAGGCAAGATTACATGCAAAATTCATTTTTAATTTCATCCTGTCACTTTTCTTTGATTTCTCAAAATGAACCACTTGGTATCACCTATCCACCTGCCATGAAATCTAATACTTTAAAAACTACTAAAAGTATCCCTGAGGGGGAAAATACTAGGTACTTTCATATTAATGTGTATCACGCCTTAAGCCAGTTACACTGAGAAGTTTAACTTCCAACAGCCATGATTAAATGCTGTGCTTATGATAAATTAACATATACATATCTTTCCGAAAGATATGAGTTAAAGGGGGGGAAACTATAAGCAAAACACAAATAAGCTACCTACCGAATGAGCTACATGAATGCTATCTCCTGTGGGCCGACGGTGCTTACTGAAGTAGCCACTCAGTTGCTCACCAGCCTGCCTCTGGAAGACATATCCAACTGTGGCATCGTCCTGAGACCATCCACTGAAGGGTACCTGGACACTGGAAGCACCTGACACTGCAGATGTAGGGATGGAGTGAGGATTGGTTCCACCTGAATTGGGCCCTGAAGTTGTTCCACCTACTGTTCCAGCTGAGGTAACCCCTTGTTCAACCCCTCTGGTTTCCTGACCAATGTTCACATGCATCATTCCTCTGGTCTCCTGCCAGGACACTTCATTCATACCTAGGAGGACACATGTAATTTCATACCATGTAGAAACCTAAAAAGAAAAAGGATTGATAACGTAAAAGGCTTTCCACAGAAGGAGAGTAAAATATGCAGTTCTTATAATTAGGATTTCAAAACTAAAAATCCAAACTATAAGGAACAGGAAGTTTGCTCTGAAACACTGGCTTCTCTTTGGAAGCCCAACACAAAAGTCCGACGTTACCCTAGAAACAGGTATAGGCAAACTCGGCCCTCCATATGTTTTTTGGGACTACAACTCCCATCATCCCTAGCTAACAGGACCAGTGGTCAGGAATGATGGGAATTGTAGTCTCAAAACATATGGAGGGCCAACTTTATGCCTGCCCTAGAATATGTAAGGTAATATACTAAAAATGTTCTAATCCAGCTGCCTGTCAATCTTCTAACCAATGCTTTTTGGTGGGGGGTACTTAAAGGTATGTAGTACCAACCTTTTTTTCCTAGAAGAAAAGCACTAATTAAAAGTGCGGCACTTACTGTAACAACTTTGTGGTGAGTACCGGTACCTTTTTTCTAGAAGAAAAGCAGTGCTTTTAACTATTCTTCCAACAAGCCATACCTTACAAATCAGGAACTCAAAGTAGTTACTCATACACCATGTATCAATAAATGAAAATTAAACCTTGCTCTCCTCTCTGCATAGGAGCCTAAGAGCACTAAAGGATTGGCATGCCAGTCAACTACAGTGGTACCTCAGGTTAAGAACTTAATTCGTTCTGGAGGTCCGTTTTTAACCTGAAACTGTTCTTAACCTGAAGCACCATTTTAGCTAATGGGGGCCTCCCGCTGCTGCTGCGCCACCGCCGTGCGATTTCTGTTCTTATCCTGAAGCAAAGTTCTTAACCCGAGGTACTATTTCTGGGTTAGCAGAGTCTGTAACCTGAAGCGTATGTAACCTGAAGAACCACTGTACTGACCTTGGTTACATAGTTCATAAAGCCGTAACACTGATGAATTGGTCTGCTGCCTACTTAGTGCAACAACAAAACAGGCTTCTGCAACAGATGCCGTTGCTTTATTTGTTTCAAATTATTTTCTTTTTAATTTTGTAACTATAGTCTGTTCAAAGATAAAAGTCAAGAAGTGGGCTGTATTCAAAGCAGCAGAGTTTCATTGATGCAGCGGCACTTCTATTTCCACTCCCCACACCACGCTACAAAAAAACTACTTTGAAGAGTCCCCAAATCCCCCTGAGCCAATTCTGAGGGCGGGGGGTCTGCAGAGGAGATGTGTATGTGCAATGGGAGCCTTGGATACTGCCCACTGTTCAGTAAAGCACTCATCTTTATACAAATCTTTATTCCAAATGGTCTAAAATTTTCAGAAATGACTGAATTTTTTTAAAGGAGTAACAAAATTACCTTTTTATTGTATTTATCTCACACAAAACAAATGTGAAAGTAAGAGCATAGGGAACATATAAATCTCCTTTTTCTGGAATTACTAAAAGGGAACCGCAATAGACCAAAATTAATAAGACACCTATAGAAAAATCCTAGAAATCCATGCTTAGTGATTTAGACCGAGGGTAGGCAACTACCAGCCTGCAGGTCAAATCTGACCTATGGTATACAGTGGAACCTCGGAAGCCGAACACCTGTAAACTCAAATGTTTCGACTCCCGAACAATCAAAAAACAGAAGTGATTGTTCTGTTTTTCAAATGATTTTAGGAAGCCAAAATTCCGGTGTGGCTTCCGATTGGCTGCAGGATGCTCCTGCAGCCAATCGGAAGGCACACCTTGGAAGTCAAATATTTTGGAAGTCGAGCGGACTTCCGGAACAGATTCCGTTTGACTTCCAAGGTACATCTGTATATGGATCTGGCCCACAGTCTTTTCTACCAAGTAACTGTTAGGATTAACAAAAGCTGTGGAAACTACCAATCCCATTGCATGCAAATTATTTCACCACTAAAAGTTCCATCCTATTTCGGCAGACCTCTTGCCGAGTTGTTCCTACCATCAAGAAATTTCTACTCATGTTAAACTGAAATCTACCCTCCTATAACTTAAGTCCATTATAGTTAGTTCTGTACTATAGGGCAGCAGAAGACAAGTCTTTGCCTCTTGTGCTATCATCATGTTCTCTTCCAAATAAACATACCCTGTTATTTCAACTTTTCTTCAAAGGACATTTTCTGATCTTCCTAACCACCTCTAAGCCCATTACAATTTATTTACATCCATCTTCAAATGCAGTGCCCAAGACTGGAGGATTACAAATGAGGTCAGAATAAAGTGCAGCCACTTCAAGACTTGGAAATTATAGTTCTATTAAAACAGCCTAAAAATAGCATCAGCCTTTTTTGCAGCCCCACATGTTGACTTGTGTTTAGCTTGTGATCAAATACAATCCTGAAATCCATTTCACAGGCATTATCCTCAAGTCTGGTACTCAATATTCTGCACCTGCTTATTTGATCTTCTTTTGTGTAATAGCAAAATTTTGCATTGATTTCTGTTGATTTTCCTGGAAAGTCTCAGTCCAGATTCACATTAATTCTGAATTTTATTCCTTTCCTGTGTGGTGTCACCTATCCCTACCAGCAGGGTCATCTGCTGCAAATATGATCAGGATCCTTCTACCTGTTCATCTAAGTCACTGCTGTTTAAGTTCCATAAAATGTTGACGAGTTTCGATTTCATAAAATGTTTAGGTTTCATTAAAATGTAGACAAGTACCAGGACTGAGCTCTCACTCAGAATTCTCCCTCCAGTTTTTTTCTGGCACGGAGTACTCAAGAGACTAGTTTTCCAACAATATCATTATCTAACTCACATTTACCCAGTTTCCTAACTAAAACGTAATGAGAGAAATATACATTACATCCAGTTTGCCAACACCCTTTAAGCTAATAAAGAGAAAAATGCAATTTGTGTGGCAGAATTTATTATTGTTAAACCTATGCCACCTTTTACAAACCACTACATTATTAACAAGGCACTTACTAGTTAATGGCTTTATAATTTACTCTAATATCTTCCCTGATATCAAATTCAGACTGGTTTGTGGTGTCCCAGATTCTCTTCTCCAACCACCCCTTTCTTAAACTATCTCAATCTCCAGGATTTTGGCAACTCACGTTATTAGAATTTATCAAATATGGCAGAAAGAAGTTCTAAGAGTGCATCAACAAATTATTTTATTAGTCCATGATGCAATTATCTTACCCAGATCAAGGGTTCAACTGGCCCAACATTTTGTCCCCAACAGTGGCCATCACATGCTCCTGGGAAACTCACAAGCTGGGCATGACAACAAGCAGCTCCTGCAAGCTCAACCCAGCCACTAGCCCCTATTGTTTGTCACCTAGCACCTAGAACTTAAATGTTGGTAGTTATTTTGGGCTAAACCATGTCTTTTCATGCTACATTAACAAGCTTACCCTCCTTCCACTTCCCCATCCTCCTAACGCAAAGCCAAGAGGCGTTGGGAAGCTTTTGCTTCCATTTTTAGCTCATTTCAACTGTCAACTACAGTGTCATTCTAACTAGGAAGTGTAGTTACCATTATCTATTGTCGTAGTTTAAACAATTCAGCTTCACAAACTACAGTGTAAAGTTGGCTTATCTTAACCTAACTCCACATTGTTAAGAGTTTGAAGAAAGGAAGAGGAAATGCACACCTGTGGAAGGGGGCTCAGCCTGTTCACATAGCACTAAACAAGGGCTAGTGCTAAATCCATTATTAGGATCAGCTTACCTGTTGAGTTTCTATCACAACTATTGTACTTTCCATTCAAGTGTTGAAGACTACTTGTTTCTGTTTGCATTGTCTCAAGTTCTTTTCCAGAAGGGAGCAGTGTCACCTACTCAAGGAAAACACTCATTCCCAAATGCAGGCAAGCCTCTCCATTGGCAAAGCCCAGGCACTAGAATCCAACCACCGTTACTGCCGGCCAAACACACAAGCAATTTTACCTTAACAGATCACAGAACAGATATATGAAGCTGACTGAACTGTCACTGCACACAAGAGTTCCACTACAATCCAAATGGGTTTATTGCCAGAGTCACTGAAATCTCTCACCTCCACAGAGAGTTGGAAGGCCAGGAAAGAGTACTGGCAGAACACTGAACTGGCACCGCTCAGCTTTCTTGTTTCCTCAAAACACCTACTACTTGTGTGCCCAGGTCAGGGTGTTCCAGCTACAGGCTGCTTGCCTATTATTATCTCCACAGGTCCTCTCCCAATGGAACAAGACCTACCAACACACAGTACCACAAAGGAGACCCATGTCATTATGGTCAACCGTAAACAGGATGCTCCCAGCTGTTCCTCTATGATATGTTTTCCAAGCAGGCTCCTCACAGGTTATGTGCGAAAGTTATGTCAAAGGTGAATATATTCCTAAATGGAGTGCCGTAAGGGTGCTAGTGCTATGACTTTCCCATGTGCACTGTTCCTTTCTTGTTCGGGATTGGTAGCTAGGGACACCTTTTCCATCCCCAGATGCAATCTAGCTTCAGCTGGACTCAGGGTGGGACATGTAGCTTGTTACTACCAGTGGCCAGAGCCAGAGACCCTCTACTCTCTGATCAATCAGGTTCCCAGGACTGCAAGAGGACATGCCACTCAGGGTGCACTGTGGGGTAAGTGCTGATACAAGGGTGCATAGAAGCACCCAGTTTAGAGGGGGAAAGCATCAGTCAAAAGGTGTACGGGACTATTCAGTGCTCATGCATATTGGTTCAGATGTTCCTGAATGTCAAAGTCCCTTTCCTTTTCTAGTGATACCTGGATTTGAACACAGTATCTCCTGCATGTGAAATTTCAGCTGCTTTACCAGGGCTCCTCTTGCAACCTACAGGAACCTGGTGTTCATAACTGGGTCTTGACATAGGCAGCCCAATGCTATCTGTTTCCTGCCTGCTGGCTGACCAGGCAGGCACTGTTCTGTAATTTTTGAAGAATTGCCTCAATTTGAAGGAGCTTCCTCTTGTGTCTGTAACATGACTGTTGCTAGACAAAGCATGTAAACAGTGAGGGGGCCATTTTCTCCCCTATCCCCACCTGGAGCTACTGCTCCAATCTCCTTTTTCCCAACCCCATGTGGCAGGAGTGAAAAACCTGTGGCCTTCAAGATGATGTTGGACTGCAACTCCAAATAATCCCTGACCACTGGTTGCACTGACTGGGTCTGATGGAAGTTGCAGTCCAACAACATCTGGAAAGCCAGATTTCCCACCACTGCCCAATGCAGTGAATTGCTGCAGATGTCTGCTATCAGTGTGTGGTTGTGGCATACCATGGTTCCTGTCTTGGTTCTTCCTGTTCTCCCTTTGGCAAATATTTATTTTCTCCCACAGTGTGTCTTGAATCCTGGGAGCGAGGAGGGACAGGAGTCCTCTCTGCAGATCTCCTGCCAATGGGACAATGCAGGTACTATACTCAGCAGCCTGTCCTTCATTCCCCTTGTGCGTGATTAAATACAATTATTTTGAGCAGTATGCAACATAATGAGACACAAACACCTGCCTGAGGAGGAACGGTAACATCAGTGTGTATAGATTGGTAGAAGACTGTTCTGAGGCATGTATCACCATCAGTGCACTGACTCCCTCAATCATAAGAGTGGTATGGGGGTCAGTACTACAACAACCCATGATTAGTGGATACTGGCAATATTGCCATAGACAAAATATTGCTCAATTGTATGTTATTCCATGGTGCATTTTCCAGAGCAGTTTTTTCCTCTCTCATGTATGGGGCTGACCCCATATAAGATGCAATGGTAGCTGCACCAACATAACAATGGCTGCTCACTCTCACCCCCCAGCATGAGAGGCATATAGGATCACACCCTGAAAATAGTTTTTCAATGTGGACTAGAGATTATGCCATGTTTCCTATAAAGCTTAATCTAGAAAACAGCAAGCATGAGGATGTTTCCACAAGAGGCCTTTCCCACTCTATTCCTAAAAAGCCATTTCCCAGACTGAAAACAGTATGCAACAATACAAGTGAACACTGGTACAATGTGGCAATTCCATGCTGTTGTGGACGGTTCCTAATGAAGTTTTCTGAGGGGCTCATGAGATTTCAAAGGAAGATGGAAGGGAAGTCCTCTTGCTTGAGCATCCTTATACTTAAGCTTCTTCACATATGCTCGTGTTGAGTTTAGGAAACATCTACAGAGACATTAAGTGCCACCCATCTAGTTCAGATGTTTATGGAACAAACCAGAGAACCTTTGGGCTATAGGCCTATCTTGGCCAGTGAGGCCATTTTGCCCAAACCAAACCTACCAATTTACATTATTTATGACATCACATAATGGGCAGAGATAATTTCTAAATCAAGAAGGCGTTTGCTAAAACAAAGAAAACAAACATCCGTTTTAGCAGAGGATTTCACTGCAAACACGTTCCCTGTTAAAACAAAGGCTCCTCCACTCTCCATTTTTGCAGGAAATTCCTCCCCCGCTGAGAGGGGAGAAAATAGTCCATTGTAGGCATGGCCTGCCCATTTCAAAGTTGCTGCAGCAACAGTAAAATTTTGGGCTCTTGGTGGTGTTTGCTTTGCCCCTGGACAGACAGGCTGCTCCTCAAGTGTGTAGTATCAACTGTTCCCTTTCTTACTGCTCATTTCTAAATAGTTGCTTTTGCCTTCTGCATACTGTGCATTCCTTGGGGCAGCCAGTCAGTTGGCACTCTCTCACTCTTGCCTCTCGGTGTGCACCAGCAGCAGCAGGAAGGACTCAAAAAGTATGCATATGTATTTGGGAAGGAAATTAGAAAAGCACCCAGATAAGCTCCTTTCAGTCTCTTCCATTGTTTCCTGTGGCAAAGTAGTGGACAGAAGGCACAGAGGTTCCTTCGTTCCAGGAGCTGAAATGTTAGAGGCCTTCTGAGGAAGCCGCCTCACTGTCTCCAGAAGATTGTTGTTGTTGGGGGTTTTTTTTTGCATATAGGTCATAAACCCCTTTCTGATTCAGCAGCACCTTCCAAGTTGTTTTGAAGTCTGTACTTCAAAGCACCTTGAACATGACCTCATCATGACATTTGATTGAGAGGTGGGTGGCCCCACCTACCTGTCAAATTTGTCCCACAGGGTTGATTCTGATAAGGATCTGTCCCATGGAGCCAAAAAGATTCACCACCTGCCAGAGAATCAAAGCTATTTATTTATTTTAAAATATTTCTTTTAAACTCTGGAATTTTACCTTCCTATCACTGATCTGGAATTGGGAGGAAAAGTATTCTCAAAACTCATTACAGTGTTAAATACACTAGAACATATGCTTGTTTATCATGCTTAATAAAAATGAACAGACTGTCAATTAGTCCTCCTCAATATACAACAGAAATGTATAATGCACTGATAGGTCTGAAAAGTTGCATGCTCCAATATAATTTGCTGCAGAGGAAGTCAACACTTAAACTCACATACCCTACCTAAAAAACTGTTTCCTTAAAGACTAAAAGGGGGGAAACGCTGTATGTGAAACCACATTTACCAGAATGTATAATCAAATGTCAGTTACTCATTTCATGCAAACTGCTTCCTCACACAGGTACTATATTTACATTTTTTCCTAAGGCACATTATTCAAACCTTCTACTGAACAAGAGAAAATCTGCCTGTATGACCACCACGTGTCTTGCATATCCAACTCTTTCCCTTTTTTCTACTCAGCATCTTACCATACCTCCAATAACCAAACTTGTTCACAGTTCCCCCACACTAGTTTCTGTTTTGCTGACTTCTCTTGCGGCCTTCACCACACTTCTTGCTGATCCTCCCACAGAGACGTGCTAAGTTTTTCTTCCCCAGACACCAAAATAAGTTCACCTCACAAATTCTTCCTAACTAGACTAATTTCCAAGTCACCATGTTCCAGATTCCCTGTGGCATCTCTTTGGCTGGCCTTTCAACAAATCCCAAGGACTCACACTTTAAGCCACATGGATGCTTCCAGCAGATCCAAACACCTTCTCAAGCGTCTTCCAATCAAGAGAATCCCATCAATTTGTAACCTATTTCCTCACCTGGAATCATGTGTACACTATACAAGGGGCATCCAGACTCTTTCTTCTACAGGGAGAACTGACAAAACCCACAGAACCAGGATTACTATGTCAATGAATGTTTTAAGACATACTGTGCAATAAGTAAGTCTACATATTTCCTTTGCACACCCTCCCCTTGAGCCAGTGTAACAGAAGAATGTTCCTGTTTACCATCTCCACTTCTTCAGTTGCCATTTCCCTTCTGGGCACCCTTTTGTTACATCTCTCTCCTTTCTCAGGTTACCAATCCATCAAATACAGTCCCCTGGCTAGAAGGAACCAACACCACAACAAGCACCCATCCACGATACCCACTTTCCGTAAAACACCCCACAGTTCAGAGCCTCCTCGCTACTATGTTAGTCCCACAGCAGAAGGCTCACCAATTTAGGCTGAGCGTGTCAGACCAGTTTCTGCAGGCAAAGATTTAACCTTTTTGCTTCGTGTTCTTTGCTGTGGTTAACAGTCCTTTGGCTGGCACCTCCAAAAAAAACCTCTCTCGCCTCTTTGCTGCCCCACAATAGCAGACCTTCAAACACGATGGGGGGGGGGGCAAACCTACACAAACCCTATTCATTCCCCTAACCCTCTCTGTTAAAGAGGAGAAACGGAAATATTTCTCCCCCACCCCAATACCAAAAACAGGGGGGGAAATCCCTCTTACAATCCCCCTTCTTTCACAACACACTGCCCCACCCACTTCCAAAATTATCTTTCTCGCTTGTCTCGAGCTCCCCGCTTGGCAGAGACGAAGCAAAACGAGACGTTTTAAAACGGAGAGGGCGAAACAAAACAAGCAGGAGACGGAGCTGCCCGGATCAGGACACAGCAGCCCGCCCGCCGTGCAGACGTCGTCCTCAGCACCATATTGACTCCTTCCTCTCTTTGCTTCCAAGCAAGCAAGCAAGCACCACACCCACACAGGCGCCCTCCTTTCTTCTCCTCCTCCTCCTCTCTTTCCACCCCGCTTTTCCCTATGGCTTCCCCGCCGCCTCCAGCAGCGAGGGCCTGCCCGACGGGCCTAGTGCTCGCCAACACAAAGGGAGGGCCGGAGAAAGAGGTTGGTGTGTGGGGGGGGGGTGGAGACAGAGGGCACCGAAGACGTGCGCTCAGGCCCGGAGCAGCTGCAGCAGCAGCGGCCTCTTCTCCTTGTCTGTCTGTGTTCCCCCCCCCCCCAAAAAATACTCCAATCCAATCCCCGGGTCTGAAACAATAGGACGTGGGTGAGCGACCGTGCGACGGGCGAGGATAATAATGGACTCGCCCTCCTGCTCCTCCCTCAATCGCGCTCCCCCCCCGCCGTTCCATGGGCCGTTCCATCCCCTCCCCCACCCACCTCATCCCATCGCCTCAGCAGCCGAATACTCACGGGCTAGTGTGCCTGTAACGGACACACGGGGGGGGGGGCTCCCTCCTCCTCCTCCTCCTCCTCTTCCTCCTCCTCCTTCCTCCGGGTACACCTTCACCTATAATTACCCAGCCACCCCGACGCCTTCCCGCCTCCCCCTCCTCCCCCCGCCGCCGCCGTCGTGGTCCCTCCCCCTCCTCCACCCTCGCCGCCGTGAGGGAGACTCACAACAACATGGCGAGCGACTGAGAGAAAGAGAGGGACGGGCATACACAGCAGCAACGGCGGCGGCAACGGCAACGCGCTACGGCGCATGCGCGCCGCCGGCCCGTCCGTCCGTCGACGCCGGGAGGGAGGGAGGGAAGGAGGAAAGAGAGCGTATCGGGAGCCGCGTGCGTCGCCGCCCAACCTGCGCGGCGCGCGCTTTGCGCCTGCGCACAAGGTGCGAAAGGGGAGGGGAGGAGGAACGGCCTCCCAAGCACAAAGGCATTGTAAAACCAAAGAGGTGGTGAAAACGAGCCGGTGCTCAATACTTCCGGTTCTCTGTGGGCACGTCCAGCGGGCATTCTCGTCCGCGTTCCCAGGTCCCGTTGCAAATCCTAGTGTTAGGAGGAACTCCCCCTAGGGTCATCTAGTCCAGCCTCGTGAAATGCAGGAATCTCTGCCAAAGCATCCATGACAGGCGGCCATCCACCCTCTGCATAAAAGCCTCCGAAGAAGGAGAGTCCGCCACCTCGCAATGGCAACCGTTCAAATGCGTGGGAACGATTTGGGGGGCGGGGAGGCGGGGACTCCAGCAAATGCAATGCACCTTCTCAGTTGCGGTTCTTTGAAACCGTCATGCTCAAAGCCAGCACCGAAACCGCTCATGGGGACTGGCCCATTCATCAGGCAAGGTGAGGCGACTGCCTCGGGCGGCAGCGTCCCTAAAGACGGCAGATCCAATGCTGCCTCTACAGCTGGCCTCCTCCGTCCGTTGTTCCCATTGTGCAGCAAGCCCACAACTGCTGTTCAGAGATATGCTTCCTCTGAACATTTAACTCTCATGGCTCTTGGGAGAAGTTTCCATGGATGGAGCTAATGTAGACAGAATGACTTTAGCAGGGCAGGGGTGTGTGGCCTGCAGTACACACACACTTTCCAGAGGCAACAGACGCCACTGTTTCCATATAGCTATGATATTTAGGTCACAGTCAAGGTCACAACCCACCTCTGTTTCCTTGATGATGAGATCTGAAATATACTCAGAGTCGAGAGTGGATTTCATGCTCTTTATTTTCAACTCAGTACATAAGATCTGTACAGCCACTTCCGTTTCATTAACTAATGAAGTCAAGGTTTGTGGTTGGTGCAAATCGTAAACTGCTGACAATGTATGAGTGTACTACAAACATCGTAGCAAATGGATTCTTTCTCATCTGGTTGTCTTCAGCAAGTGACAAAGTTTGTGATACAAATCATATTGGTCTGGCTGGCCTATCCTCTCTAGATTGAATGAGTCAACGCTGTTCCGATCCCATAAAAAAAATCATTGCATATTACAGCCAGCTCTTTATCAGATGGATAGCGCAACAGCTTCTGGGGTCTGTAATAAATTCTTAAAGAGAGCTCAGGTGCCTTTTCTAGAGAAGCTCCTCAGTGCTGCTTCAAGCAAGCAAGGGGGATTGTTGGTAAGCTAGGCAAAAAATTGCTGCAATGGTTGCTGCAGCAACTCCACAGAGGTTTTCCTCTGAGGTGCGATCTCAGGCACAGGAACTACGTACCTTAATTCATAGTATCATACAGTTGGAAGGGACCATGAGGATCATCTAGCCCAACCCTGCACAATATAGGAATATGCAGCTTTCCAATACGGGGATCAAACCTGCAACCTTGGCGTTATCAGCATGTAACCAACTGAGCTTGCTTTTATTTTGTACATCACAGGTGTAATCCATGTGCCTCTGCTATATATTCCCAGAATGTCATTTCTGGTAGGAAAAAAAGAGCACTTATTCAAGCCCTGGAATTGCCAGGTAGGGATGGCAAAAGATTCTATGTCTGAAACTCGAGAGAGCTGCTACCAATGAATACTGAGCTAGACAAACTGTTCCTTGGTGTCCCTCCAGCATTGCTTTACTCCAGGGGTCAGCAACCTAAGGCCTATGGGCCAGAAGCAGCCCGCGGAGGTTGTTTGACCGGCCCATGAGCCGCCCCCGAACCAAGCCGCCCACTCACGCACTGCGCTAAACCAGAGCAGCATGGTGCAGGGACTCGTTTCCACAGTGCCGAAAATCACATCTGCACAGACGCCGGAAATCATGGGCAAGCAGGATCCAGCCACAAAGGGATCTCCGCGGGACCAATCCGGCCCAGGCAAGATAAACCTTGCCGACCCCTGCATTACTCAAACATCTGATTTGAGCAGACATTTCCCCCTCTTTCAGTTTCTTCTTTTCTTACTTTACTCAAAGTTCTCCATCTTCCATCTCTCAGCTGCATCATGTGAGAGAGATAAAGGACGCTGAGCACTCTTACATTCCATAGTGCTTTACTCAAACCTCTGCCATTGTTTAAATCTGTCATTTACCTCCCTCCCTGCAGATATTTTAAAACTTGTCTTTCCCCCTTGTTATGTACTGAGTTGAATAGGATCCAAACTGCAGCAGTCTGATTGGTCCTAGAACAATAGGATCCAAAATGCAGCAGTCTGATTGGTCCTAGAACAATGCAGCATTATGATTGGTTGGCAGGAACCACCCAATCATGCTCCAGATATAAGTGAATCCACAACCTGATTGGCTTACAGTAGAATTCCAGAATTAGCCAATCATGTGCAGCCCATTGTGTAAATAATGTATATAAAGCAGATACTTTGAGGGGACATTCATTCATTCCTCCTCACCACTCTGAGCTGAATAAAGAGCATGAAATCACTTTGCGACTCTGAGTATATTTCACCCCTCTTAGTATCCCACCCTCCTCACTCTCATGTCATTGTGCAACCTGCCTTCTCTTTTCCTCCCCTCTCTCCAGCCCCGACTGGGAAGAGTTGTGATGCAGCACTATAGAACTTCCAAGGGGAGCTGCGTGGTGACAGCCTTGCATTTTTATGTATGTAGGAAAATAAGTCATATCATTATCTATGAAATAGTGAGTCAGCATTTGACAGAACAAATTGTCAGATGTGGTGGTGTTGTTGATTAAATGGTGGAAGAGTTCCTAACGTGGCTGCCGTTATCGCTAAGCAGCTGTCTTTATCTTGGTCACAGCGAGAACAAACGTTCATTCCTATTCCAGGACTCTACAGAAGAAACGCAAGAGGACAAAATTTAAAAATGTGAAACCAAACCTTATGTCATATGATGTTGTAAACAAAATCTGCCCTTCTTCCCTTATAGGGTATCCAAGAGCCCCTATAGAGTCCTTAAGTGGCTTCCCTATCAGTAGGAGAAAATAACAGAGGCCAACCAGAGAATATTGAGAAGCAAAGCAGCTAGCAAGCCTGATCTTTATTAAAGCTGTTGCAACAGGGTGCTCCCCTCACACGCAGGAGAAAGGAGGAGGACCCAGAACAAAGGTGTGCCTGATCTTATATAGACATTTTAAATTCCCTGCCCTGGAGCTCAAGACCACCCCTCCATACATCATACATACATCACAGAAGGGGTGTAACCCAAGACCACCCCCCACAAACATCATACCTACCGTACTTCACAGAAAAGGTGATCTACAACAGAAATTTGAGTGTTGTTGTTTTTCCTGTCTGCCAGGTTATCTGATACAGTAATGCCTTATCTGATTGCCTTTCCTGGTAGTCTGCCCATTCCTTTGAGATGGTGATTACCCAATTCCTGAGACAATTGGAAGGTTCCCTCACCCCCTCCCTCCTTGCAGAGAAAACATTTGGTCAGTTTGGGAGTCAAAATGGTTTCAGGATGGTCTGCCTGTGCTGCTCCAGACATGTGGTCCACATATCTATGTATGCGCTTGGTTGGTACATTTATGAACATTTATTATATATATAAGACCTTAAATTTTTTTATTACAATGAGAATAGAAGGGAAGTCATAGGGCTGCAGGAGCACAAGGTGGGTAACAGCAGATGAACTTGTGCACAATAGGCATGGTGGAATGAACAAGGAAAGTTAGAAAGCCTTACATGTAAGGGGAAAGCATTGGAGCCAATACAGAAGCCAACATTGGGCCAATAAAAAGTTATAAATAAAAGCAGACCTATATTCCCACTCAGGTATGAAACTTACTGGGTAAAGAGGGAATCCCTTTTTCAGCCTAACCTACCTCGCAGGCTGTTCCAAATATAAAAATCATGTATTATACACTATTTATTTAGTATTACCTTTATATCCCACCTTACCTCCAAGGAGCTCAAAGAGGTGCACATGGTTCTCCACCAAATATATCCTTACAACAATACTGTGAAAGACTGTAACTGGCCCAGTAAACTTCAGGGCTGACTGGAAATTTGAACTCTGGTCTCCCAGGTCTTAATCCAGTGCTCTTACCACTACACCACAGTGGCTCTTTTGGAAAATATTTTTTGGTGAGAAAATACTGCTGAGCAACAGGCCAAACGGGCCCAGAAGAGGTTGTCTCCCTCTCATTGGAGTCTACAGCTGCTTGGGAGGAGCCCAGAAGGAGAGGGCTACTCCCAGCAACATCTAGGGCAGATTAGCCTAGATGAACTTTGTTGTGTTTTGACTTTTGTGAGTAAAAGCTGATTGCACTTCATGCCTCAAGTCCGTTTCCTGACCTATGGATAAAACTGCATTCCTGACAGCCCCTTGACACTGATAGCGGAGATAGCACATAAGCAACACGGCTAAGAGTCATTGATAGCCTTATCCTCCAGGAATTTGTCTAACCCTCTTTGGATGCCTTCCAAGCTGGTGGCCATCATTACTTATTGTAGAAGCCATCCAAGTTGGTGACCATCATCCCTGACCTCTGGCTAGGGCTGATGGGCATTGGGAGTCCAGTAATGTCTGAAAGGCCATGAGTTCTGTTTTAACTAAATAGGCATGCCTGTGCGCCTTTAATTTGAAGCTATATGTGACACACACATAGTACAGTGGTACCTCGGGTTACATACGCTTCAGGTTACATACGCTTCAGGTTACAGACTCCGCTAACCCAGAAATAGTACCTCGGGTTAAGAACTTTGCTTCACGATGAGAACAGAAATCGTGCTCTGGCGGCGCAGCGGCAGCAGGAGGCCCCATTAGCTAAAGTGGTGCTTCAGGTTAAGAACAGTTTCAGGTTAAGAACGGACCTCCGGAATGAATTAAGTACTTAACCCGAGGTACCACTGTATATGACACACACATAGTAGTCACGTTTTGTAAAATCTGGTTGCTTTACTGGTTAAAGACCAGTAGATGGCAACAGGTGGTTGGTACAAAGGGAGTTTAGCTGCAACCACAGAATCTCTATGGGATGTACTGATGCTTTTTTAAAAACTACAACAACAAAACCTGAAATAGCTGTTTTTAAAATGCGGGATGCCCATCCTTTTAGGTTTTGGCCATGCCCTCATTAAAAGGTGCAAAAGGTCATAAACAGATAAAGATCATTCAGAGCCATAATGATGTTCAAATAATCCCCATGCAAAATGATAAGCTCACATTCTTCCCATGGTACATCCACTCTCCAGAAACATGAAAATAGGATAGGTCAGAGATGTCCAAATGGTTGACCGCGATTGATAGATAGATCCCCGTGAGATCGTGGTCGATCGCAGTCAATCTCGGGATCGTTATCAATCGCTGGATAAAAAAGCTGTGGAATAAAAGTCTCCGCCCCTCCGTCCCTCTGTTGCGTGAAGTGGACGGTCATTTGCTGTCTGCTGCTGGCAGTTGGTGAGACGATAGTTTGCTTTAGCGCTGGATGCGTTTTTTAGCGGCGGAGTTATAGGTTAGCGAATTATATCATTACCCCTTAGAAAAGCAGGGTAGTATCTGTTATGTACTGAAGTTCTCACCCTGGGCCAGCAGGGGAATACTGTAGATAGTTTTCACTCGGGTCCACATATGCAAATAAGGGATTGAAAGTGACGTTCAGTGATTGGATAGTTACAGAAAGTTGTTACAGTTGCGTTGTAGTGGAGCTCTATATAAGCAGGTTGGCTGAACCCTTCAGTTCAGTTCTGGCCTGTGAATAAACAAGAGCTGTTTGAAGAATTGCTGTGTTGTCTGATATGTTCACCCACAACTTAATAGTAACAACAGCAACAACAGGGTATGAGGTTGTACAACTCTGTTCAACATAAATAAACAAACCTCTTGAATGCGTTGTGCTCGTTTTTTGGTTGCTTCTTATTTGTCCAGTTGATAAGCTTGTTTCATTCACATGATCAGACATAAAATGGTGTTTGAAAACATAGTCAAAAATGTTCTTTTATTTTAATGTTATTTATTTTATGAAGTATTTTAGATTTTTTAATGTATGCTTCTCTAACTGAAAGTTTCTTTGAGACATTTTTGTAGTAAGTGACAAATAAAGGCAATTAATACTAACAGAATAACAATAATCTATATTGTTATTCTGTTAGTATCACATCCACGCAACACATTTAAAGCATTTTGAAAGCACAAAGTTTTTCCCCAAAGCAGGGGTAGGCAACCTAAGGCCTGTGGGCTGGATCTGGCCCAATCACCTTCTCAATCCGGCCGTGGATGGTCCGGGAATCAGCGTGTTTTTACGTGAGTAGAATGTGTCCTTTTATTTAAGATGCATCTCTGGGTTATTTGTGGGGCATAGGAATTCATTCATCCCCCCCAAAAAAATAATAATTCAGCCCACCACATGGTCTGAAGGACAGTGGACCGGCCCACTGCTGAAAAAAGTTGCTGCCCCCTGCCCCAAAGCAACCTAGGAACTGCCATTTGTTAAGGGTGCTGGGAACTCAAGCACAGCAAGGGATAAGCTCCCCTTCCCAGAATTCTTTGCAGGAAGCAATGTGCTTTGATGTATGGTGTGTAGTGAACACAACCAACGACAGAGCTGGCTGTGAACTATCCTCAAATGGCTTTTATTAATCAGTCACAAAGAATAAAGTACAGGGAAGGTGGCAGCTTATCTGTCGCCAATCTCACCAGAAGCAGGAAGCACAAAACTCACCAGCCTGTGAGACCCAAGAGAGAGAGAGGAAAAAATCCTCTTGCATTTATTTTTGCTTGCACGGAAGGTCTCAAGATGAAGACATCAGCAGGGCCTGCGTCAAAACGAAACAAACACTCCTGTCTCCTGCCTCCTTGTAATTCTCAGCAATTCTCAAAACAAGCCAATACGAGGAAATACTTCAAGGAACTCAATTGCCAGAGTCGCACATGGCAAGACACTTTCTTTTTTCCCCTCTTTTTTTTCTGGCTGCATATAATCATTAACTTAGAAGGGAAAGCTCTCTTTTTATTATTTCACTGCTGTCATGTGCTGATTTCTCAAGAAGCAAGTTCTACTAGTTCCATCATGGGAAAGGGAAGACCAAGCCGACCAGGCTCAGCCAACCCTCAGCCAAGCACAGCAACGGAGATGTTGAAATTGAAGCGAGAGATTGGGCTGGCCAGTGCAGTGTCATTAATTGCTGGCACTATGATTGGTTCGGGGATTTTCATGTCCCCAGAGTGGGTGCTGCGTAACATAGGCAGCCTGGCTGGTAGCCTAATCATTTGGGCATCCTGTGGCATATTGTCCACTTTTGGGGCCCTGTCCTATGCTGAACTGGGAACTTTAATTAAAGAATCGGGAGGCGAATATATCTACATCCTGCGGACCTTTGGCTCCCTCCCCGCTTTCCTCTTTGCCTTTACCTCTGTCATTGTCGTGAGACCCGCTGGCGTGGCGGCCATCTCCCTGAGCTTTGCTGAATACACTGTGGCCGCCTTTCATCCTGGGTGCCCTTCGCCCCAGGTAGCGGTCAAGTGTGCAGCTGTGGCCTGCATCCTGCTTTTAACTCTCATCAACTGCCTCAGCGTCAGGCTGGCCACCTCTGTCATGAACGTCTTCACGGTGGCCAAGCTGTTGGCATTGCTGGTCATCGTGGTGGGAGGTGTGGTGCTGCTTGTTCAGGGAGAAACGCACCGTTTCCAGAATGCCTTTCAAAACACAAGGTTGGAAGCCGGGGTTATCGGGATTGCATTCTATCAAGGGCTTTGGTCTTTCGATGGATGGAACAACCTGAATTATGTGACTGAGGAGATTAAGAAGCCGGAGGTGAGTGGAGAATAGATAATTGATGATAGATAGATAGATGATAGACAGACAGACAGATGATAGATAGATAGATAGATAGATAGATAGATAGATAGATAGATAGCTATAGAACACTGAATTGTTTATATTTTATGTATGTGTGTATTTGTACAGTGGACACGGGTTGCGAATGTGATCCATGCAGGAGGCACATTCGCAACCTGCAGCCTTCGCAACCCACAGCACCGCGTCTGTGCATGTGCGGGTTGTGATTCGGCGCTTCTGCGCATGCGCAAAGCGCGATTTAGCGCTTCTGCGCATGTGCGACCACCAAAACCTGGAAGTAACCAGTTCTGGTACTTCCAGGTTTCGGTGGGTCCATAACCCAAAAAAAGCAACCTGAAGCGTCTGTAACCCAAGGTATGACTGTACTTAGATTGGCAGATTTCACACCTAGAGTTGCCATATAGCCCACGTGTCTGAGTTTTGCTTGCATTCTGGACATGCCAGTCGATAGCTGGTTGGCCTATTTTAAAAAAACAAAACAGCAAGTAACTAGCCCTTATGAAGCCAGATCAAGGAGCAGGCATGTCCCTTTGCATCTCCAACTTAACTAGAACTAGAAACCCTTTACTATCTAAGCATGTATTTCCTATAATAAACTTAGCCTTCTTATTTTTTATATCCAGAGATTCGGTGTGATTGCTTTAGAGTTGATGAGGGTCAGCATAGACAAAGGACTAAGACACTTTCAGAAGTTTGGACGTTCCTCTCTCGGTCTCCTTTTTCCTCATGCAAATCAATACAATCTGAGCTGCATCCCAGCAGTTCCAACAATGAGAGAGAGAAAGAGAACCATTAAAAAAAATTATCTATAATATTGAAGACAAAGGGGAGGGATGGTGCTTCATTTTTCCAAATCAGGATTCAGACACAGACCAAACGCAAAATGGACAACCTTCTGACTGAATCAGGCTGCTTCCAGAGTGCCAGATTGGGATCTGGACCACAGAAGGTGCACAGTTCTAGTATATATACCGATTGTTGTGAAATTATGAATATATAAGAGCCATGCATACCTAGGCTAGGAAAGCATCTTAGGCAGTGGGTTTCTACACATACACATGGCAAAATGCTCACCAGTAATCTTGCATAATGTTGTACTCTGGCATCTTGTATTTGACATTTCACTGACACCCAATGTGCCTGTAGAACTAAAGTGTGAAGTTACTCTAGCTAAAACTCTTTTATCCATTCAATTCAGTCGGAATTCTCACTTACCTGGGTGGATTCTCTGAGCTATAGATTACTGTACTTGTTTTCAGACAAGTGTGGTAGCATTTGATTCAATTATGTTACCTTGATGGCTTTAATTTGTAGTGCATCACTTGCGTATCTCTGTGCTGGGCACATTCTCATGAGTGGTTATTTTTGGGTTGTATTATTCGACTTGCGCAGCAGACTTCCGCTTTTGCCAGGCAACTTTCCACTCCCCCCTTTTTCCCTACAGCTCCCTGTACCCACAAAAATCAGCTCCAGAGGGTTGGGGAAGATGAGCAAATATTGGAGTCATGTAGGGAGAAGACAGTGAATCTGCAGGAGTGGAACTCTGTTCCCACAGAGCTGACTACAGCTCTTAATTTTTTTACATGCCATCATTTTCAAACATTGCAAATTGTTTACTTTTAGCCCTGGGCTGATAACTTTGCTCCCTTGTTATCTTGTTTTTGCTGTTTAGAGAGATGCGATGGGAGCCTCCTTAAATGAGAAAAATGGTTGGCAAACTATGGGATTCCTGAAATTTTGCATTTATGACGTGAGATGGCAGCACTCAGTCGCAAGGCATACAAATATCGTAACAAAAATTCTGAGTTCACAAATCGTGAATCTATGAATTGCGGCTTTCCAAATGGTGTACAATAGCAGGGGTCAACAATCCAAGGTCTCAGCTGAGATTTAAAGTTCAAACTTGTAAAGTGCACCTTACAGCTCTGATACGTGTGCAAACTGAACATTGATACTTTTTACCACTTATAGCTTAAATAGCAAGCAAAGTCTAAGGTTATAGAATGCCTAGTTTTTAGTCAATCAGTGTCAGCTTTCACTATTTATTTCCTAAAGATGTGCAGATTATACCATCAGTTAAGTAAGTGACGATGAAGATGCATTTGCGCTAAAGGAGAGAGTGGAGAAGTGAGGAAATAACTATGATTTGTTCAGGAAAACAGATACTAGTCCTACGAATCCAAAACTGGACAATACAATAAAAATGTCCCAAAATAGTGAGCAAGCTTTTGAATTATGCTGAGCTCTTAACTGGGTTAGATTTTAAGCCAAGTGGGTACATCTGCATGGTACCTTTAAACCAGTATGATACTACTTTAAACAGTTGTGCTTTCCCCAGATAATCATGGGAACTGTGGCTTGATAAGGGTGCTGAGAGTTGCTGGGAGATCCCTATTCCCTTCACAGACCTACAGTTCCCAGAATTGACTGCTAGAAGTAAGTCCTCCTGTCGTCAATGAGCTTTACATTAATCTAAGTGTGCCTAGGCATGTCTGGTCAAAAGTAAGTCCAACTGAATGCATTAAGACTTACTCCCAGGTAAGTGTATATGGGACTGCAGCCTTAATTATGCAGTCTACCTAATCTCTCTATAACATTATAAAAGTATGATCTCCAGCCAGTGTAAATGAGCAGCGTAGAAAGGACTGAACTGTTGGAAGCTTTCTAGTATCATCACTAGTTTGATTATGATTCTTAGTTGCCTGGATCCCACAATCCCCTGGCTTGTATCAAATGCCTATCATACTCAGAGTGGACCCATTTAAATTAATGAACACAATTTACTGATGCTCACTAATTTCAATGGGTTTACTCTGAGTTTAAAACTTGTTGGATGCGGCTCTTTGTTTGGGGGCAACAACTCGTGTGTGTGTGTGTTCAGTAAAAAGTTCAAATATAGAGGTGCATATGAGGCCTTGTTTGCTTTTCTTTACTCTTTCTCCAGGTGAACCTTCCACGGGCCATGATGATTGCTATTCCTCTAGTTACCTGCTTCTATTTGCTGGTAAATGTGAGCTATTTTGCAGCCATGACTCCTGCCGAACTTCTGTCTTCAGGTGCTGTGGCCATTACGTGGGGGTGAGTGACGCTCCAGAGCTCTGAAGACTTACCTACATATTCACCCAAAGCAACCCAATGTTATTCATTCTGCAGTTCCTGCAAATCGACGTTCAGCTGCAGGCTGGATGAAAGTGGCTGTTCTGTTACCACTGCACATCACCCCACATTGTTGCAACTGATCAGGAAATAGTATTTTTCCTGAGTGTGTCAAGTATCTACTCTCTAGTATAGAATCCTGGAAGAAATGCAGACATGGGTACAAGAGTGACGGAACTACTACACTAGATTCCCAGCAGATGAGATGCTGTTGCTTGCCAAGAGGAGCAGCAGCAAGCTGGTGGGGATGCTGGCATGGTGCGAACACGCCAGCAGGAACCCTCCAATTGTCTCTGCTATTGTGTTTGCAATGCATCAACCTCTCCTCCACTTTATGCTTCTCCCTCAGGATTAGTGACCCACTTGCTAGGAACCTAGCCTAAGCCTCTGTCCCACCAGGCAAGCTGCAGCGGATGGCTGCGGTTTGGAGAAAAGGAGGAAGGGAAAGCCAACTTCACACTGCCTATGAGGATCTTGTCATTGGAATACTATAATCCACTTGTCACAGGAATACCATAATCCACCGTGTCAGCCCTCCAGTTTAGAAAAACTGGGATGTGGAACTGAGGAAAATAGAATGTTGAGAACAGATTGTGAAAGCCACACTGAAATAAGACACAGCGATGTCTGTCTTGGTTATGGGTTGTATCCAATCAAGTCATCCCTTTACTGGAAGGAATTCCACCTGTGAAATAAAACTCCCTCTCCTTGTTCTCCCCCATTTCCCTCTGCTTCCCCTAAAGCTTCTCCAGAGGATTGGGGGGGGGGGACACAAAACAGATATTTTTGGGGTGTCACAATACTTAGGGGTGAAAGGGAGAAGAAGTCCTGTTCCACAGGCAGAAGTCCTTGTGCTAACAGGATGACTTGGTTGGATATAACCAATAGTTAAGGCTATTTCAGGCTTTCAAGTTTCCCTGAACTCTCAGTCAGTCAAAATAAAATAAGTTTGCACAACCTAGTTGCATCAGTTATTACATGCCTGTGTTGGTATGCATGTGTACACACACACACACACACACACACACACCCCTTTAGATGCTGCTGTCTGGAAAAAGCATCCTGTGTCACCCTGAAGATGATTTTGTGTGTGTGTGTTATGAGTTTTCCTGGGGATGATCCCTCCTACACGAAGTGGGCAGTGAAGATGTTGGGTTTTTATACAAGCCTGGGGTCTGAGTGTGCACGAGACGCTATTGTTCTGTAAAGACAAAAGAAGTGAAATTGTCAATTGCAAAGCATCAACCTGTCCATACATAGTGATCATCTCAGAAACGTTCAAGCCTTTACCAGCTGGTGTTCAGTCTGCGCATTATCAAACTTGCCCCGCATAATGCTTATGATGCATCTTTTTATAGAGTTTATGTTAATACCCATTCACATGATGAATATATACTGAGACAAGTGACAAAGCTCATTTCACTGTGTCAAGACAACTTTTCCATGCACCGCCTTCCCTATTACTCCTGATTAACAAGTTATTTGTTACTGTTCTTCTCTGTTACAGTTCTCTGCCCCACCCCTTTAAAGTCCTACACCCTCTTCTGCCTGATTAACCTTTTCATTCCAGGGAGAAGGCAACAAGGGGGTAGAAGAACTAAATGGTGCTTTCAACAGAACTGTGTATCTTCTAGAGCAGATTAGGGTGACCATTTACACATTATCAAAAAGAGAGGAAACTCGTCACCCAAAGAGAAAACAAAAGAGGACACAAGATTTGCACATAGTTTGTCTTTGCTAATTTATAAGCGTAGATGAAAACTCATAACCATAATTTCAGCAGAATAAAATGCATCTAACTTCATCAAGGGAGACAGATCAGGTGAGTTATGTGCCTGTGTTAGTTTTATGATGTTAGCCACCCTGAGCCCGGCTCCGGACGGGGAGGGCAGGGTACAAATAAAAATGTATTATTATTTATTATTTGAAGGCTGCTGTCTTGGTGCTGCTAATAAAAGACAACCTCCAAGGCCTCCTTAAGGTTCTTAATTGGAGCTGGACCAGACAGCTCTCCAAACAGGAGACTCATTATTTATGAATTTTGCACTAATATGTACATTTTCATTCTCATCTTATCCTAATATATGTATGCATTATTTGTTTGCAAAATTGCGTTGTGAAATGCAGGGATGTGCAGGTCTTGAAGGCTATCTATTATTTGCTGATTGTTCCAGGAAGTGCAAACTAGGGAGCTTCACATTAAAATTGCCTCCACTCCTACTGGCTTGCCTTTCAAGTAATACCTACTGATGCATTCGTTGAGTGTGTGATTTAACAAAACAAGGCTGCTGCTTTCCCTTCTTAGCCATACTGTCATAATCCTTTCTCCATCCCCCTCTTTAGGAACAAGGTCCTTGGTAGCTGGGTCTGGCTGATGTCATTGTCCGTTGCAATGTCTTCGTTTGGATCAGCGAACGGAACATTTTTCAGCGGAGGCCGCATGTGTTATATTGCAGCAAGAGAAGGCCATATGGTAAGAGCTGTGAACCCACTGATATTCCTCTGTGTGTGTGTGTGTGTGTGTGTGTGTGTGTGTGAAACAATGGTTTAGTCTCTTACATCCATTGCAACGCAAGCCAAGCGAAACCCATCTCTTACTATTACATGTATGTTTGACTCTTCTGTGTAATGTTCTGGTCTGATGCCAGACCCTACAGAGAAGGCAGGTCAGGAGTAGCAGCACCATGGAGAGCTCAGAGTGAACAGACGTGAGCCCTTTTAAGCTTCTGCCTCCAGACAGCTCTTCCAGGCTTTGCCCTCTTGTGACTAACTTTATATTCTTAAAGGGGCAACCGTCTGGCCTAAAGATGGGCACTCCTCCTCCATTCTCTAGCCTCCTGTGTGGTGTACTTTCTGTTTTGCTGGACTGGTGAGATTCTGTGGGGAGGCATTATGGTCTATAGGCTCAGGCGAAAGTACCTGTAAGGGTCCAGGATCTGCCCTGCAAAAATAGGAGGTTCTTCTGATGGCTCATGTTTGTCAGCCTCGGGCTCAGGCAGGCTCAAAGCCCTGCACCTGGTCTTACTACAGTGGTACCTTGGGTTACAAACGCTTTGGGTTACAAATGCTTCAGGTTACAAACTCCCCTAACCCAGAAGTAGTATCTCGGGTTAAGAACTTTACTTCAGGATGAGAACAGAAATCACACGACGACGGCGCAGCGGCAGCAGGAGGCCCCATTAGCTAAAGTGGTACCTCAGGTTAAGAACAGGTTAAGAGCGGACCTCCGGAACGAATTAAGTTCTTAACCAGAGGTGCCACTGTATTTAGCTGGAGCTTCTGCAGCCTCTGACTCCTAGTCTTGATAGTTGCTGGACTCCTGGGTCATGACTCTGTGGACTAATGTGGCTGCCTACCAGCCAGCTAGGGCAGCAGTTGCAATTCTTTTTGCGGGGAAGGGACCTATATAAAAGGCTAAAAATACGAGACATTTATGAGGTGAGGAATTCTATACTGTACTCTGATTTTCCTTCCCGTTTTATGTAATTGCTCACATCTTTTCTCTTTTGTAAGAGAATTATCACTGTGGTAGACAACCTGTGCCAATAGTCAAGTATAGTAGTAGCAGTAGTAATAATAATAATATCCCCCATCTGACTGACTGCACCAGCCACTCTAGGCAATTTCCAACAAATATAAAAGCAAAATAACATATAACATTGTGGTTCTCTTATGCACACATATGACATCCCTGGTGCCTTGATGTGGTTTCTCTTCTGATCTGACTAGATGGCCTTCAGGATCTCTTCCAACTCTATGATTCAATGGGCTCCCATTCAAGTTAAGTTTCCAGAGAACCAGGATTTTTTTATATTAGGCCTGACTTCACGTTTTCAGGCTGTTGGGTAAAACAGTGACATTCAAAATGAAACAAACGTATTGCAACAGAAATCATCTGGTGGCGATTTCTGTTTATTTCTCAAAGTTCAACAGCCATGTTTACTGCTCTTTTCCTAATCAGAGTCTTGTGTTTGCTCTTTGGAGAAAGCTCCGCTGAAGTGAAGGAGAAAAAAATGACGTTTCCAACATGTTGATGATTGTCTTGTACTTTGTGTCTTCATTTTCAGCCAGACATTCTATCCATGGCTCACATAAGATACCTTACACCTTCTCCTGCTCTCATATTTACTTCTGCTGTGTCGATAATTATGGTTATAGCCGGAAGCTTCAGTCAGATTGTGAATCTTTTCAGGTATGTATGTTTAGTATTCTCATCAGTCTATGGGTTTCTCAGTATCATATTAATTCTATTTTTGCTTCCACAGCCTTCCCTCCCCCCCTTTTGTTTTAAAAGCAATGAAAGAATGGATAGCAACTTTTTAGCCATTCATTAATTTCATTAAGCATGCCAATGCAGTATAACCATAAAAGCAACACCAGTAAAAAGAAGAAAAGTGAAAGTGAAAACAATTTCAAAAAATCTCCTCTGAAAAGCCTTGTGGGAAAAGGACGGTCTTCAAAAGGTAGCAAAAAAGATAACAGAGGCAGGGCCTGTCTGAGATATAATGTGAGCATGTTCCAAAGACTCAATTCCTACATTACATGGAACAGACTGCCTGATGAGATAATCTTTGCAAGATGGAGAGCAATGATTGACTGGGTAGATCACTCTCACCCATTCAAGCTGTGTGCCTGGGAGAAGGAAATAAAAGTGTAATTGTGGTGTGTGTGTGTGTGTGTGTGTGTGTGTGTGTGTTACTGGACTATAGCCCCACTTGACTCTGACTGTTGGCCATACTGGCTAGGGCTGAACTGCACTGGAGCCCTACAATGTCAGAAAGGCTCACGTCTAGAGTAAATGCTACTAACATTATTTCTGCACAGTTTTACAGCTTGGCTTTTTTACGGGACAACTGTCGCTGGTCTCCTGTACTTAAAGATTAAGAAACCAGAATTGCCAAGATCTTACAAGGTGAGACTTTAAAAAGAAGACAGCCTAAACACACTATGTTCTTGATTAAAGAGAAAAATGGCCCTCCAGATTTTGTTGGACTGCAACCTGTGATTTTAAAAAAAATTGTTACCTGGGGGGGGGGGAATCCTTCTAAAATATATGACTATAATTTTTTTTTACAAAAAATTTTTTTACACAGGTACCAATCATCATACCAGTAGTTTTCCTGATGGCGTCTATATACCTTGTGTTGGCACCCATCATTGACCAGCCCCAAATGGAGTTCCTTTACGTCATCCTATTCATTTCCAGTGGGATCATCTTTTATTTCCCCCTGATTCACTACAAGTACCACCCCACCTTCTTAAGAAAATTTACTATGCATTTTCAGCTGTTTCTGGAGGTTGCCCCAACTGAAAAGAATGCGGACTGATTCAATAGTCACATGCCCTCTTTGAGAGACTCATGGCAAAATCTGTATATCTGGTCTGAACTGTCGGTCTGAACATTTGGGATCAAACCACCACAAGCTACCACTGTTTCCAAAACTGGAGAGCAATTAATTAAGTGACCTGGATGTTTCTGAAACAAGCTTTGTAAATTGTGGTGTGTATGTGTGTTTTTTTGGGTGTGCGTATGCATACACGCATACACACACACACACACACACACACACACACTTCCCCCCATCCACTATAGTCACTGATATTTAATACAGTGGTTAGGGACACAGGTGGCGCTGTGGGTTAAACCACAGAGCCTAGGACTTGCCGATCAGAAGGTCAGCGGTTCGAATCCCCGCGACGGGGTGAGCTCCCGTTGCTCGGTCCCTGCCCTGCTCCTGCCAAACTAGCAGGCTTCATCATGCTGGCCACATGACCCGGAAGCTGTATGCCGGCTCCCTTGGCCAATAAAGCGAGATAAGCGCCACAACCCCAGAGTTGATCACGACTGGACCTAATGGTCAGGAGTCCCTTTACCTTTACCTTGGGTTAAGAACTTAATTCGTTCCGGAGGTCCGTTCTTAACCTGAAACTGTTCTTAACCTGAGGTACCACTTTAGCTAATGGGGCCTGCTGCTGCCGCCGCGCTGCCACCACACGATTTCTGTTCTCATCCTGAAGCAAAGTTCTTAACCCGAGGTACTACTTCTGAGTTAGCGGAGTCTGTAACCTGAAACGTCTGTAACCTGAAGCGTCTGTAACCCGAGGTACCACTGTACAGTTAAAAGCACATAGAAATCAAGGGGAAGTTTCGTATGTAATGGCTTGATAGTTTTCTGCTGGGGAAGATGCAGATCTTACCATAGAAACGTACCATTTGTAAATAATAGAAAAAAAACTTTCTAAGCATATGCCGACTGTTCTTGAATCTGTGAATGGGAATTGATGAGGTTGACCTCCATAGAAGGTGTTTGTAACAGCTCCCATTTCACACTTTTGTACAAATTTTGGCCTAACTCCTGCCACTACCTACACACATGCATCTGTCACTCTGAAAAGCTTCTTCATGTGAGTTTTCTTCTGCAAACTGGCATGACACAAGTGCTTGTGGGTAGCTTAGGCTTATGCCAAGGCTATAGTGGCAGCATTTCTGCTCCTTGCTAAACATATGGTCCCAGAAGAACAGCCGGGAGACGCATTAGCTACAGCAGAGAAGGTAGACAGATGTGTAGGAGGGTGAAGTTGCAGAGTGTTGGGAAATGTCCTGGGAATTTCAAAACATCAGAAATGAAATCAGAAAAGGAGGGCTGAGGAGCAAGCCAAGGAGACGTAAGCTGGGGGCGGAGGAGAAGAACAACAAAGGCATAAGATTAATTGTGTAGCCATGTTTGGGATTTTGCAAAGGCATGGAGGAACACATTGGGACAAAGAGGATTACAGTGGTACCTCGGGTTACATATGCTTCAGGTTACATACGCTTCAGGTTACAGACTCTGCTAACCCAGAAATAGTGCTTCAGGTTAAGAACTTTGCTTCAGAATAAGAACAGAAATCATGCTCCGGCGGCAGCAGGAGGCCCCATTAGTTAAAGTGCTGCTTCAGGTTAAGAACAGTTTCAGGTTAAGAATGGACCTCTGGAACGAATTAAGTACTTAACCTGAGGTACCACTGTAGAGATGCCAAGATGGTTATAGTCAAATAAAAACAAAATGAATTTGGGAGGGCAACCAACGTAACTGAGTCCTCTGTGAGGAGACCGTAACGTGATTTGAAGTCACTGATATATTCCTTTCAGCCACCTGAATTAATGAAGAAGCTCTAGTGGTTCTTTAACGAGTCATTATACTCTCTGGGTAGAATACAACTCAAGAAGCTTGGCTCCCTTTATGGGGGCAAAAGAGGCTGCTTGAATAGATTCTCTGCTGTGAAAGTGTTATAACCCTTTGGCTGATATATTAAAACGCATTGTTGGGAAGCATTTTGACCAGACCTACTAATCCTTGACTTTGAAGTCAGAAGTCATGTGCTGAAGGGACTGCTGGAACAGTGAAAAGTACAGAACAAAACTGAATTGATGAAAGCATTGTTTCTACATGACAGTGCTCAATTGCCTGGAGGAATATTATATGTTTTCCTAGAGTGTTTTTTTAATAATAATAAAAAACTTTTAAAAAAAACAACCCTAGTATTTTCCTAGTTTAGGCCATGAGTTTAGCATGACATTGTGTGAATTAAATATTGATTCACCCAGCTTAATAAATGGGAGCAGATGCAAATATTTTTGCTATGCTGGTAAATGGGAGCTGATCTACACGTTAACCAGAAAGGGGGAGATACATAAACTTATGGAATATGAAGAAATGGCAAAACTTACCAGAACAATAAGAAATCAAGATAACAATTTTTTAAAAGAATAAAAGAATGAAAATGGTTTATTGAATATTTAGAGATATATTATAAGCAGATAAGAACATTGGCAGGATTATTGTAATAACCTGCAGTTTTATAATAGTATATATTTAAAGTAGATGAATAAATGAGCAAATTAAGTTATGCAGAAGATATTAAAAACAAATTTAAGGAACCAAAGAAAGAGGAAGGAAGTCAAGTTTTGAAATATCAAAATGATTGTAAAATTCATGAAATGTATAAACTAGAAAAGTACAAAATAAAAATACATTTAAAAAAACCAGAAAGGGCTAGATTGAAAAAGGAAGAACTTTTACCTTCACCACTCTATAAATGCTCATTGTCTAAAAAAATCAATTTTAAGGTGCTACAAAGCTCAGGTCCTTTATTCTCAATAAATAACCATGAGCTAGCAAGGCACCTGAATTTGCATACATGATGGACTGAAGTGGAAGAATCCTTGCCTAGACAACTTTGGACTGCAATTGTGCATGTAGAGGTTCATCTTTAGGAATGTTTCCTTAGTAAACAGCTCCCAGCTACTCAAAACCTTTCTCTCTGCGCTCTTAACGTGAGGCAGCATTCAAAGATATGACTCACCCTCCTACAAATCTGCAGTCTGAAGCAGTGCAATCCAGAATTCTATCGCCATGTTCTGAATAATGTGCAAATGAGGGGTTGCCAAGTGGATCTTTTATTTTTATAATATCAAGAGGTGATGCCAGGGAAGCACTTTATAGAGTTCTCTGCCTTTATTGTATTGCATTGTTTTGAAGCTGTGCTTCATATGCTGTTTCACACTGTGTTTCTTATTGGATTTGTGTTTTGTCCATTATATGTTTGTAAGCTACTAACAAAGGATATTGTCCTATCAGGTGACCTAAACAATAATTAAAATAATAGAGTATCAACTAGACAGAGCCTGACGGTTTTTCGTGTGTGTGTGTGTATGTGTATGTGTATGTGTGTGTATATATATATATATATAAAATAATTTATTATTTGTACCCCGCCCATCTGGCTGGGTTTCCCCAGCCACTCTGGGCGGCTTCCACAGAGACCAAAAATACACTAAAATGTCACACATTAAAAACTTCCCTGAACAGGGCTGCCTTAAGATGTCTTCTGAATGTCAGGTATATATATGTGCGCGCGTGTGCGTGTGCGCGCATGTGTGTATATATATATGTATGTGTGTGTGTGTATATATATATATATTTATAAAATTTTTGTTGATATGTAAAGTAACAGAGTAGCTTACAGCTGGGAAGCTAAATAACTCTTCTAAGCGATTGATAACTTCTTCCTAAAGACTATACAGTGGTACCTCGGGTTAAGAACTTAATTTGTTCCGGAGGTCTGTTCTTAACCTGAAACTGTTCTTAATCTGAAGCACCACTTTAGCTAATGGGGCCTCCTCCTGCTGCTGCTGCACGATTTCTGTTCTCATCCTGAAGCAAAGTTCTTAACCCGAGGTAATATTTCTGGGTTAGCGGAGTCTGTAACCTGAAGCGTATGTAACCTGAAGCGTATGCAACCCGAGGTACCACTGTACAATGTCCAGACTCTCTATATTCAAAAAGAACTTTCATAAACGTATAACGTAAAAGAACATATTTGCAATCTCGTGCTTATTCACTTTGTTCCTTGCAAAGAGCTCCCGCACAGGTTTCTCCCTATTAACTTTTATTTTATTTATTGATTGATATTGAGGGATCTTCCTCTGTCTGTTTCACTTCAGACAGATTACACTAACACAAACTGTCCTCAGCAGTATCCCGAGAAGTCTGCTTCAGCATCCATTCTCCCTCACACACAGAGAGAGAAGCAGAAAGACAGGTAAAAATGACAGCTACTAGAATAACAGTCACAACAGAATGGAATGCCTCTGTCGTGTAATTCAAAATCAGCCAATCACATGAGAGCTACTGCCAGAGAAAAAACCCCATGATAAAAGTACACAGTAATTTAACCTGAGTAAACATCCCCATTTCAGAAAATTAAACCATTATGCGCACAGTAACCTGGTGAGTTTTCACACACCAAGAGGGGAAGCCTAGTGGTTCTAGGTGTAGGGTAAGGTAAAGGTAAAGGAACCCTGGATGGTTAAGTACAGTTGAATTCAACTATGGGGTGCAGAGCTCATCTCTGCTTTTAGGACGAGGGAGCAGGCATTTGTCCGCAGACAGCTTTTCTGAGTCTTGTGGCCATCATGACTAAACCGCTTCTGGTGCATGGAGGACTGTGATGAGCAGTGCTTTTTTCCTGGGGGAGACGCAGGGATATGCATACCCTTAAACATTTTGTGACTCTAAGTTTGGCCTCATTGAGTGGCAATATTTCAATATGAGTAGGAAAATGAGAGTACCCCTAAATGTGGGAGTCATAAAGCCACGGCAAAGGCTTGTAATATTGCAGGGTGTCCCCTGACCTCGGCTGACCAGCACTCTGAGCTTTACAATGTATTGGAATGTATTGACTTAAATGCAGTTGTGTTTCCTCTGGGCAGTGATTGACCCTATATGGTGAAGGGGGCAATAAAAGCCTTGACCGGATGAGGTAACGTGAGACATTGGAAAAC